CTTTTGAATACAGCTCGCTCAGTGGACATGTATTGTTTTTGTTTTTTTGTTTTTGGGCTTGTGTAGCGACCATATCACGTTCCTAATTGATTAATACTTCCGGAAGTTTGTAGGCAAACGTTGTTATACAATATTTAGTTTGCTTCGAAAGTTCATAGTGTGAAAATGGAATTTTTGCGAAAGTAGAAAATTTAATTAAAAAAAACCTCTCTATTTTCAATTTATTCTACGCTACAAAAGTCGATAACGAAACAATGTCGTTTGAATTTTTGTTTGTATTGTGTCTGGTTATTAGTTCATATGCACAAAATACAACTAACACTTCGGAATGTTCCGTAATAAAGGCAGCACTTGGAAGTATTTTGGGTGTTCGACAACACACTGTGCTTGGTAACAATACTTTTTGTTCATATCGTGGAATTCGCTATGCTAAACCGCCAATTGGTCAACTTCGATTCAACGTTTGTTAAATTATCTACTGTTGTGCGCAATGAAAATTAAATATTTCAAATACAAAATACAGGCACCAATGGAAAAGGAACCATGGAATGGAGCGTATGATGCATCGGACTATGGAGCAGCATGTGTACAACCATACTATTCTAACTTCACCGTGTCAGAAGATTGTCTCTTCCTCAATGTTATGCAGTAGTTCAAGTGATATTGCCGTAATTATTTACATTCATGGTGGAGGTTTTATCAGCGAAACGGCCAATGATAATGCATATGGTCCTCATTTGATGTTGGATAAGTGTATGATCCCCGTTACATTGAACTATCGACTTGGTATTTTTGTTTTTTTGTTTTTTGCCATTGGCCTCAGGTAATATCGGATTCAACAAATCACATTAATGGGTGAAAGTTCCGGTGGTGCTTCGGTTAGTTTTCACAAATTGAATGCAAAGTCAAGAAGTTTATTCAAACAAGCATATTATATCACCATACAACAACAAAACCGATTTTATAGTGAATTTAGCCAAAAATAAAGGTGAAGAGATACATAACACCAAACAATTAATTGAATATATCTTAATCATACAATCCCAAAAGAAATAAATCCTCTTGAAACATCATTTCTAACATTTAGACTAGATAAACAACCGTGCATCGAACGTAAGTTTATGGAATTTATTCTGAATTCATCAAACAATTTCAGTTGAATCTGCAAAAAATCCATTTATGACCTGCAGAATAAATCAGAAAACTGCATTAAACTTCATTTCAAACTATGTTTTGAATATGAATATTACCTCAAATTTGGTTGCACTAGCTGGCTGTGTCCATTTTGGTGACATTTGAAGTTATTTTTGGTAAGCAATTCTTAATTAAAATTAAAAAAAGTATATAATAACATATCTAATTTTTTTTTTCCAGGTGCAAAACAATATCACATGTGTATGATGAAATTGAGCCACAAGAAACTCTGATACAAAAATTGTCGGTGAAAGCCAGCGAAATATTGAGAGAAATTTTAACGAGTTTTGCAATCACCGGGTAAGCGTATTCGAATGTTTGTGTTACTAAATTGTGAATAATTTATTATCTAAAGGAATCCAGTCTCTGAAACAGCATCATTCGATAATTTTCCACTGGTCGGTTCACAGCCATTGACTAAATTGCCGTTTGCTGAATTGCTTAGCATAAATGCTTTGGTCACCGGAAATAATTCAGATTATGAAGAGTTCAAGCTCTGGTGGGACATCGATCAGCGAATCGAAGAAATCAAGAAAATGCCCTGCAACCAGAAATGATTCAAAACAATTCAGACACGAATTTCGTACTTTTTTGTGATAAAACTCATTATCAGTTTTTGTCAATATTTAGAGAAGAATACCTGATTGGAGTATTAGATGTTTGTTTTTCTTGTTCGTGCGCAGATTTTACGATTTGCAGATGGGAAAATGAATAGAGAGGAATATTTAGATGACTGTGGATGACATATGTGAATTAATAAAAATGAAAAGCTCTTTCTATTTGCTCATTGCACAAGCGCGCGTTTATAAATAAAGATTACAAGAGTGATAATGATCGCACGTTTTACAACACATTTACGTGATGATTAACAATCGATGTAAATTACACAATCTTCATTGCAATGACTCAATGAGACTCATAAGTATTTATTTGCCTTGTGACTTTTAAAAAAAATTGAAGAAGTTGCAAAAGTATTCGGTTCGTATTCTTTTGAAATTCACAAAAAATGAATCAATAATTTTATATTGATGCGATGCATTTAATCATTCCAAGCAATGAGTGGTTTTAGTCTGTGTTCTTCACTTGTGAATATTCAAATACTGATTATGCAATAATAATTATCTTTTAATAAAAATAGACGCATTTAAACGTGAATTTATTTACATGCCATTTTTTGCTATTCGCCGATGATAATAATTGTAATCATTTCATTTTATTACAAATATAACTGTTCTCATTCAAACTTCGACTGGTTTTTTTTTGTTCTATCTACAATAAACTCTCTTTATCTCTTGATACACTGAGAAATGATTTTTGTCAAACGTAACGTTTATTTTACGAAACCAGATCAGTATGATCCAAATCGTGAACGGAGTAGAGAGCGCGAAGTGACGAAATATCATACTTAAACAAAGTTCTTTTCAATTAAGAAAATATTTTTCTCTGACGAGTTGCAGCGTAATGTATAACAAAAATGTCTATGAAAATAAAAGTTGTTTTGAAATACCAAAAAAGAAATGTATCCTGATACTGTGCATGGTGCTCCTATTAGTAGCAATTGCAAGTTCAATTGCAGTTCGTGGAGTGGAATATGTATCAGATTGCCCAGTTATAAAAACGAGGCTCGGTGAAATAGGTGGCATTCGGCAACGAACTGTGCTTGGAAACAATACTTTTTGTTCATACCGTGGTATTCGATACGCCAAAGCGCCTATTGGTGAACTACGCTTCAAGGTACAATTAAACACTCACTTTTCTATATTATCAGCTAGCATTTATATGTAATATTTAATATATTCAGGAAGCAGTTCCATTGGGACCATGGAATGGAATTTATAATGCATCGGACTATGGATCAGCTTGTTTACAACCATCCTATTCTAACCTTGTCATGTCAGAAGATTGTCTCTTCCTCAATGTATTTGTACCGAGCAAAATGATATGTAGCAATTCAAGCGATATTTCCATTATTTTTTACATTCATGGCGGAGGCTATAGTTCTGGAGTAGCCAACGATAATTTCTATGGTCCTCATTTGATGCTAAATAAGTGCTTGATTCTCGTTACATTGAACTATCGACTTGGCATTTTTGGATTTTTGCCATTGGCCTTAGATGAGTATTCAGGAAATATGGGATTAAAAGATCAACAATTGGCTTTGGAATGGGTCAGTAAATACATTTCAGCGTTTGGCGGAAATCCAAAACAAATCACATTAATGGGTGAAAGTGCGGGCGGAGCATCGGTTAGTCTTCACAGATTAAATGCAAAATCGAGAAGTTTATTCAAGCAAGCATATGCAATTAGCTCGTCTGCATTGAGCCATTATGCTTTATCTGAAAACAACAATAAAACCGATTTGATTGTAAATGTGGCCAAACATCAAGACATCAACATTCAAAATACCGATCAATTGATTGAGTATATTCAAACAGTAGATGGAAACTATATTATGAATCAAACAACCCAAGGCACCTTTTCAACACGTACTATATACGCTGATCCTCCATGGCAACCAAACATTGAACGTAAGTATAGGAAAGTCGATATTTTGCATTGAAAATGATTCAATAAATATTTGATATTATTTACAGTTGAAACTGCTACAAATCCCTTTATGACCAAAGATCCACAACTAATATTGGCGAGTGGTGTAAATATACCAACGATTTATACCCATACGCCCATGGTAGGAATTCACAAAAAATGAAAATTGTATATCTTAAATCATTATGATTGCAATCGCTATTTTTTTTTAATTCTTAGGAATTTACTGCATTTGCAGCAGAAGTTATTGGAAATGCCAACTTGATCGATTATTTGAACGAAAACTTTACATTCACATTGCCTTTCTTGGGCATTGATCAAATATCTTGCAGAGCAGAACTGGCTCCACTTTTCACTGTTATTCGTCGATTTTATTTTGGCGAATCGAAAATCGATGCATCACAAATGTATGCTTACATTCAATTAACCACTTTTGTAAACTTTGTGTACTCTATTCAAAAAGAGGTTATCATTCAGGCACTTTCCAATTCAACCGCCAAAATTAGACTTTTTAGGTATGGTCCTTATAAATTAGTGCATATTAATGTGAACATTTATTAAATGGCAGCTTATATTCCGCAGAGTTAATCCAAGAACGGCATTGGGTTACAATAGAACAGTGCCCAATGGATTTGCTTTAGCAGGAGACTCACATTCAGACGATACATGCAGCTACTTCTGGTTAGTAATTAAAATTAACAATTCGAATAGAAATTTTTACAAAGAAGAAATAAACGAAAATCTTGTGTGATAGGTGCAAGTCAATATCGCGTGTATATGATGAAATAGAACAACAAGAAACTCTATTACAAAAATCAACAGTGAAAGCAAGTGAAATATTGAGAGAAATTGCAATCAATTTCGCGGTTACAGGGTAAGAATTAGTTGAATATTTTAAAGTACGAAATTAATTTGATTTATTATCGAAGGAATCCCGTTTCGGAAACGTCTTCATTCGATTATTTTCCACCGGTGGGTTCGCAGCCATTATCTAAACTGCAATTTACCGAATTACACAATACAAATACTTTGATTACCGGAAACAATCCAAATCAAGAAGAATTCAAATTCTGGTGGGATATCGATCAACGAGTAGAAGAGATCAAGAAAATGCAATGCAATCAAAAATGAATTTGGCCAGAAAAATGATTTTTTTTTTCATAATTTACCAAATCAATATTTTTTAGTGTTACACATGATTAGACACTTGCAATTATATCTAGAATTCTAACTTTAGTGGTTGGAATTAAAATTAAAAAGAAAATTAAAAATATCTGTGTTAATTCGTATGTAAATATATTTCAATTGCAAAAATATACATATAAAAAAGCAAAATTTGTGAAAAGATTTGAATTCAGAAAAAAACGGTTGCCTGCAAATATATTCAAATGTTATGTACTATTTATAAAAAATCATATTTTCTCGCAAAATAAGAAATTAAAATCAAATACATCTGTAGCAAAAAATAAAGTCCAATTAAATGATATCATCTGATTAATTTACATTCTTCAAACTAACAAGTAAATCACCAGCTGTTGGCCGTTCTTCGGGCTCGTTGTGTGTGCATATGAAAAATGTTTCGCAAAATATGAAATAATCCTCGTCCAATTGTTGATTTTCGGGTAGACGTGGTCGTGATCCATACCAATCTGGTAATGTTTCGGCGGTATCGTTCATTCTCTTGTCCCACGAACTATTATAGGACATATCCGAATCAATTGTTGAATTGAATGTGGCGCTTAAATCTTTCATCGGATGTCGATCTGTCGAATTTCCACCGAATGACCCATCATTTAATGTGTTATTGATGGTGCCATTGAATGTTGTGCTTGTGATGTCTTGCCAAGTATCATCGCCAACTGTGGCCGCTGTACTTTTAATCGACATAATGCTTTTTTCGACTTGTGATTCATCCAATGTTTTTTCTTTCAATGCTGGCGATGCGCAAATCAATTGATTTTCTTTACAATTCGTTGAATCATTGAACAACTCCTTTGGTTCAATATTTGTCAATTTTTTGCTTAAAACTGATGCCTCCAAACCTCCATCGATATCTTCGACAAGATGTTCATAGTGCGGACATTGCAGTGTTAAACATTCAAATATGACTAAACCAAAGCTGAATATGTCACATTTGCTGCTGATGTCTTGTGGCGGTGCATGGAACACTTCTGGCGCCGAATAAATGTCCGTTCCAGTGTAATGAGCATTTGGATGTTTATCCAAATCCACAAATCCATCGTCGGTCAACGATAAACTCACACCAAAGTCACACAATTTACATTGTTCGAATGAATTTTTGATGAGGACATTGTATGATTTTAGGTCGCCGTGCAATAGTTTCACCTCTGTATGCAAGTAATCGAGCGCATTGCATATATCTAAACAGACTTTTAGAATTTTCGGTGGTTCCAGTGGTCCAGCTGATAGCTCATTTCGTTGTTCAATCAAGTCACCTAATGATGTGTCGCATGTTTCCATGGCCAAAATGACTCGTTCGTTGTTAAGCGTCTTTGTTCCACGATAGCCCACGATATTTGGATGATTGAGTGATCTGAAACAAGAATGAAATCAATGATTTTGGTCTAATGAATGGGTTCAACTTCTTGTGCTCTCAGGAAGAAGAAGAGATGTGAATTTTTGGATTTGGTCGCACAGAATGTGATTTAATCAGAATACTTACTTTAAAATAGCCGCCTCGGCAAATAATCGTGACGAAATCACTTCATCACTGTTTTTACTGCGTAAACGTTTCACAACCCATGGCGATCTGATTTTTCCAACCACTGGTGACCTTTCGATACGATAAATATGTACACCTGACAAATGATTTGATAATTTTTTAGTAAACATTTTTTACAAAAATAAAACTGTTTAAATTAGTTTTTATAAATGGATAAAATGTGATAAGAGACATACCAGTTCCATAGCCCATATTCTTTAACAAAGGTGTTGGTGGCACAAACAATGGAGTACTCAACGCATTTTCATTTTGAAAATTATTTCCACATCGCTCTGGTGTATTAAATTTATCCATTTGTATACTCGGATTTACTTCTTTATTGCTTAGTACTTCCATGATGATAAGTTTTTTTCTTTTCACTTTAACAAAAACGATTTTTTTTAAATGAAATTCTATTGTTTAATCAACTCAAGCGTAATTAGTGCGTCTATCTTGCTGAGCATCAATTTGCCGTTTATGCGAAAAGTTCGTTTTGATTTGAAATTTGACACAAGCGCGTTCATTGTTGTATTTTACATGAAATGTCATTTGTACCGCATCATAATACCTACATCGTCCGATTGGCAGCACTGTAGCCTAGCGGTTCGTGTTTTTGTCACGCAACTGAAAAACCTTTTTTGAACACTAAATGATTTGGAAAACAATTTTTTTTCATTTTTTTTTTTTGCTTTTCTAAATTTTATTTCAAACAAAATTTATGCAACAATTATTTTTTTTTCATTGAAAATTTTATAAAGAGAAATATAAAAAAATACTTCAAAAAAGGAGAGTAAAACGATGGAAAAATGATTGATTACAAATATATGTAAATATGAAGGACTTGTATAATCTTTTTAGAGAGAAAAAATGCTGGTAAAATGATTTAAAAGAAATGGTTCTTCATGTAAAATGTAAAAAAAGTAAGAAACGTACAGGTTTCATACTCGTCTTTAGTTCTTCTTGTTGAAATACTGTTTGGCGAATGCCCGTTGTTGCTGTTGTTGTTGTTGTTGTTGTTGCTGCTGTTGCTGCTGCTGTTGTTGGATGAAATTTGGCATCGTCATCGTATTAACTGGGCTGATGGGTGGCGAATACAAAAACTGATTCGGCATCAACACCGACTGAGTTTGAAGTGCAACCAATAAATTTCGAATGTACTGATCCAATGGGATGCCAAGAATTTGAGCCTGTGCGCTGAGAAATTCGTAATTAAGCCGCAAATATTGATTGAGCAGTTGATTTGCTTTTTCAGCCAAAATCGCTTGATACTGTGCAATTTGTTCATTGACACTTGGAATTCGTGCTGTCGGTGGTGGTACATTTTTCTTAGTCGGTTTCGTAAAATTCGGTGATTTCGACGGATTTCGATTGTAGTTTCGCTTTGGCAATGTTGCATTTTGCATTTCAGCCGAATCATTTGTCGACCATTTTTGATACACTTGATTACCAAACGAAAATGCCGAACTACCCAATTGGCATTCCATAAATTGTGGTACCGGTGAATTTTGTGTTCCGCTTACCATTCCACCATTTCCAATGGCGTCGCATCCACCCATACTTTGTTCGTTGTCGTCCAAAAGTGTTTCAATCGATCGCAATAGATTATCATCCAATTGTTCATCTTCCTCGAAAAATGGCACGAGTTCACTCATTTTGATGTGTTTCTCTTGTGAATTTGATTAATTATCACTTGTAAAATGTTCTTGCGTTGCGGTTAGCAAATTGTGTACTGTTCGCCTTTGTCTCAAAGTCAAATCTGATTTTGCACTCGAATTTAACAATGCATTGATGGTCTGACTGCTCAAATGAACAAAAAAAACTCTAACGGTTGTTTTGTAGTTTGTCTCACATTTGCCTTCTCTCAATCGAAGTACAGAAAACGATTTGTGCATCTCACAACATAGCACATGCACACATACACAGAATAAAGTCGGTGTTGTATTTTATTCGGAGCATCAAGTTACATGAATAAAATACATTCTCTGTCACTGTTACACTTTTACTCTCAAAATGCTGGACATTTGAATTTGCTTTTATTTTGTCAAACGATTCGCATAGACACGTGAGTTTTGTGTTTGAGCACGACTCACGCGAGATAAGAAAAATATATCAGACATAATGTTCTCGATTGTTCCCCTTTTTTCTATTTGCGTATCGCGGTGTAGTTAAGTTCGGCTGTCAATTGGCTGTTCGTGTCAAGAGCAAACAACGTGTTTTCGTCATTCACATTTATTCATTGTTCTGCTGTGCGATTGGTGTGTTCTTGCCCCCGATACAGATTTCTTTCATCAAATTATAAGTGATTTTTTTGCCGGTTGCTTACAATTTTCTCGTGAGAATTTTTTATCAACTTAATAAATAAAAGTGAGTAAATTTCATTTTCGGTATTTTTCTCATTATGATTTAAGATTTTTCGGCTAAATTGTGTGAAATTAAGTGAATTTCATTAGAAACACATATCATTTCATCATATCATCATAGCATGTGTGTGCCGCTATTAACATCAAATGATAAAAAGACATCGTGCGTTGCCTAGCGCACAATGAGCCGCGATGCCGGTTACTAGAAATTTCTTTGCATGGAATCGATTACGCAATGAAACCAATCGTTGTATCATTCAATTATTGTTGCATATTCTCAACGGAGAATCATATATTTCAAGGACTTTGCAGAATATTTCAAGGATTTTTCGGCTCGAAACTAAATGTTTTTTTTTTCTTCAAGAAATCATCCTCATATAATTGTTAATTTGTAATTTTCCATTATTTTAAAATCATTTTTGATATTTTTTCAATTTTATGCAAAGAAATACGATAAGAATTGAAAAAAATAAGAAAAACAACCCGATTACATTATCTCCAATAAGATTTTGATATAGTAAAAATTGAGGTTATGTTATACGGTCACGCATTATCGTTTAAAACCTTTGATCTCATTGATATTAAGTGGCTGGCATTTGGTTGTATTCCATTGTAATGAATAATTCAACGAAATAGAGTTAAAAACTGGTTTCACCATAAATATATTGCACAGATACTCTTTGAAGTGTAACCAGCACATTTGCAATTGCTTAAAGTGTTGAATTATTGAATCTTTTTCATAGATGTATCGTTTACCAAATGTTTTGCGTTCGGCTGCTGCCCGTCAATTGGCTGTTCGTTCATATGCCAAGGATGTTCGTTTCGGTGCTGAAGTCCGTGCACTTATGTTGCAAGGAGTTGACGTTTTGGCTGATGCTGTTGCCGTCACAATGGGACCAAAAGTAAGTCCTTTCCCTTCGTTTACTCGCCAAATTTCGTTAATTGAATGAAAAATTAAAAAATGATGTGCTTATTTTCGTACACAGGGTCGTAATGTGATTTTGGAGCAATCATGGGGTTCACCAAAAATCACAAAAGACGGTGTCACCGTTGCCAAAGGCATTGAATTAAAAGATAAATTCCAAAATATCGGCGCTAAATTGGTGCAAGATGTTGCAAACAATACCAATGAAGAGGCCGGTGATGGAACCACAACTGCTACAGTTTTGGCTCGTGCCATTGCAAAAGAAGGTTTCGAAAAGATCTCAAAAGGAGCCAATCCAATTGAAATTCGTCGTGGTGTCATTTTGGCTGTGGATGCCGTTAAAGAGAATTTGAAAAAACTTTCGAAACCAGTCACATCACCCGAGGAAATTGCACAAGTAGCCACAATTTCGGCCAACGGTGACAAAGCCATCGGTGATTTGATTGGTGAAGCGATGAAAAAAGTTGGCAAAGATGGTGTGATCACTGTTAAAGACGGCAAAACTTTGCACGATGAATTAGAAGTGATTGAAGGAATGAAATTTGATCGTGGTTACATTTCACCATACTTTATCAATTCATCGAAAGGAGCCAAATGCGAATTCCAAGATGCTTTGGTTTTGGTTTCGGAAAAGAAAATCTCATCGATTCAATCGATTATTCCAGCACTAGAATTGGCAAATGCACAACGTAAGCCATTGGTCATCATTGCCGAAGATGTAGACAGCGAAGCGCTCAGCACATTGGTTGTGAACCGATTGAAAATTGGCCTTCAAGTGGTTGCAGTGAAAGCACCAGGCTTTGGTGACAATCGTAAGAGCACATTGCAAGACATTGCCATCAGCACTGGAGCACTTGTGTTCGGCGATGATGCCAATTTGATCAAATTGGAAGATGTGAAAGTTAGTGACTTGGGACAAATCGGCGAAGTTGTTATTACAAAAGATGACACACTATTGTTGCGCGGTAAAGGACAAAAAACCGATATCGATCGTCGTGTTGAACAAATTCGTGATCAAATCGAAGAAACCACATCTGAATATGAAAAGGAAAAATTGCAAGAGCGTTTGGCACGTTTGTCATCGGGCGTTGCTGTTTTGAAAGTTGGAGGATCAAGCGAAGTTGAGGTCAATGAAAAGAAAGATCGTGTTAACGATGCTTTGTGCGCAACTCGTGCTGCTGTCGAAGAAGGTATTGTTCCAGGCGGTGGTACCGCTTTGATTCGTTCCATTCCGGTTTTGGACGGCTTGAAGGGCAAAAATGAAGATCAAGTAAGTTTTCACAGCAATGCTTAACCTATTTGAAGCAGACATAAATGTATGAACCAATGAATTTTATTTATCAACAGAATACTGGTATTGCAATTGTGAAACGCGCTTTGCGTATGCCAGCCATGACCATTGCCTCCAATGCCGGCGTTGATGGAGCTGTTGTCGTAGCCAAAATCGAAACATCACCACCAGAAATCGGTTATGATGCCCTCAACAATGAATATGTAAATATGGTTGAAAAAGGCATCATCGATCCAACCAAAGTAAGCGCATTCATTTTAATTTAAGCTTTTGTACAGCACAGAATACGAAATTAAATGTTAAATATTAACGTATCGATGATTTTGTGTAGGTCGTTCGCACCGCATTGACCGATGCATCTGGAGTTGCATCACTTTTGACAACAGCAGAATGTGTCGTCACCGAAATTCCAAAAGAAGAACCAGCCGGTGGCGCCCCAGGAATGGGAGGCATGGGCGGTATGGGTGGTATGGGTGGTATGGGAGGAATGGGAGGATTCTAAATGTAGAAAATGCTCACATTTCATCACATCATCACAACATTTATGATTCAGCTAGCAGATCATCAACAGTGAGAACAGGAACCATTACACTCCGTACATACACAAACACACACAAAAATACAAAAGCGAAATTTCTGTTCATTGTTAACGACACAAATTAATAATAATGTAAAATTGTTAGATACAAAACAAAATGACTACAAAAGAAAGAATGTTGTAGAGATTAGTTTATAAAACCAATTTAAAAGATGTAGAGTATGCAAGAGAGACTTGCGTACGTTTTTATTTGAATAATTCCGTTACGAATTGTTAAGCATTTAAATAAGCCAAAAGAAAGTAAATACACACACAGTGAGAGAGAACAAACAATCGATAACTGCAGTTCAGCTATTATTCGGATTGCTTTGAGTTTAGTAGAAATTTAAGAGAAAATAATAAAATTTAATTCAAAAAATAAACAATTCCACTTTTATTTATTGTTAAAAAATCTTAGAAAAACAGCGCAAATCACTAAACGAACAACAAATGGATTTCTCAAAATAACAAGAAATTGATTTTAACTAAATAACATGTGCATTCGATTTGCCGCAAATAATTGTTACCAAACAATATTCCAAGTAAACAATTTGTTGTCAATCTATGGCTATCCGAATTAGTTTTCGTATCCAGGCGATTTGTATCAGCAATTCCCTAGCAACGGATTGTTTCTACACTCAATCAGTTCCACTCTAATCGAAGACATGCAATTCAGTTTAAATCGTTGCTTCAACATAGATAACTGCACTAAAACGAAAATGTATTCATTATCGTTGATAAAACAATCAAATCAATTGGATAAAAGTTCATCATCATCCGCATTATCACATCGAACGTTTGATAAGAATATCACTGTACGCTTTGAATTAAATGAATTTGATACAGTGGCTCAAGTGTATCCCGAACTAACGACAATCGAAGAGGTTCTCGACGATGTGTCGTCAAAATTTCAATTGTTACCAAAATACGTATCGATAAAGCAAAAGTTTGGTCCAAAACTACCAAAAACCGCCAGACTATATCAATTGTGTACAAATGACTTTGGTATTTTGGATGTTGGACTTAGTTTAAGCGATTTGGCCAATCACATCAATGAAAGTATACGTGTCGAACACGAAAAAATTCGACTTGACACAAATTTATATTATCGGTAAGCTAAATTTAAGTTATTAAATATTATCATCGTCAAATTAGCAGTAAAACACAATAGATGACATTGAAAGAGCGAGTATAAAATATTGTTTGTTTTATTTCAGACAAAACCTATTGCCCGACTTTATATCGGTGACCATTCCCGATAAAGACGATCCATTGAACTTGAAACGTATCATTGTGGAAATTATAAACATTCCGATAATCAAACCATTTTTAGGTGGATACATAAACAAACAAACTGGTATATTATCCATGTGATTGTTTTTGTTTATAGGCTTTAAAAAGAAAACATGTTAATTTTTGTTTTCATGTAAAATTGAACATAACGCATGCGAACGGCACCAGACACAAAGTGATGCAACCTTGTGTCATAATGAATTAGCATATTTATTAATGAAAAAAATTGAATTAACTTGATTAATAGGTGTTGTTTATCATAATGCTTACACCCAAACTGGCCCATTGAAAGAGCAAATTATCAAATACAGTGGCTTGATGACCCGAGACACCCAAACAACCAATGATTCGGTTGGTAAATTAAACCGTTACTTCTTATTCGTCGAAATGATAACAACCCAAAATGACGAATAGTTTTGTTGATTGGACACTAAAAAAATTGCAATAAAACTACAGTAAATTCTTTTCAATAATATGTTGTATTTTATTAGATATTGAGCGGTGACTTTTGCAATAAAAATCAAATGACGGATCCAAAAAACGATAACTTATCGAAATTGAAGAGCAATCAAATGGCTATTGTAATCCAAAGATCATTTCGGCTTTATTTATGGAAACGTTTCATTCACAATCTTTCAGTAGAACGAAGGTTTATCGCGTTTAAAGCAAAAAAAAAAGTAATTTATTTTAGCTGACATCAATAATTAGATATCTTTTGAAAATTGTTAGAAGCCGACAAAATGAAAATAATACCGAAATAAGAGAATTAAAAGATCAATGTTCGACGGAAATTTCACCGGTAGACAAGGTCATTGTGATTGGTTCGCCGCAAACACGAAATGATTTCCAGTTATTAGAATCAAAGGTTCAGAAATGGAAAGAAAGTAAAGTAAGCGATGTGCAACGAATTTTCAGTTATTCTCTTTATCATCATGCGGTTTGTTTTTTCATCTCTTTTGTTGTTCTACAGATTGAATACATTAAAGAACATTTTGTTGATAAGGTCAAGCAACAGCTGGAATTTTCAAAGTTACTCGAAGACGAAATTCGAATTTTAAACGAAATCGAAAGAAAACGGAATAAAATACGCAAAGAAGCATACGATAAGCACATGGATGAAATGTTAGATAGAATGGGCGCACCAATCAGATGGATTGGCTATAAAAGTAAATTCATATTTCAATGTGAAATGAAAAAGAACATGGTATTATGGTTCGTTGTGTTTTTTTTGTTATATTATAGATATTAAATGCGAAATGGATTTGCTGCAATGCCAAAAGATCAGAAAACTGACCACTTTGTATCGACAACTTAAAACATCCGAACCGAAGATTGACCGCATTGAATTTTTAAACGAATTGTATATGATTTTGACGGAAGAACCACATTCCAAAATCTTAGACGAGGTATAACAAATGTTGATCACAATAATTGAACTCATTTAAATGAAGTGCGACATTTTCAGTTGCTGGACTTGTTGAAACGCGAACAAAAAATGCTGTTGGCATGCATCGATAAAGGAACCGTTGAATCATTACGCTGTCGCCAAAATGAACTTTTTCGCAGATATATCTCGTTGCAAAAGGTGTATAAGCCACCATCACCAGATGCAGCCACATCCTATGTTAATCATTAGGCAGAAATTTGCATTGTTTTTACAATTTTCGGTTGTGAAATAAAGCCATGACCAACAGGTCATTGTATTGTTTAAATATCATAAATTCACACTTTTGACTCACAAAAACATCACGTTTCAAACGTTTGTTATAATCAACGACATTTTTTGTGTTCTTTTCTGAAAATGCACTTCGTCGCGTGTGATTTATATGGTTTTTTGTTGTTTGCACTCCAAAAAAATTACTCGTACCCTAATGTGCTACTCTGTTCCTCTTCGATTTTATTCAGCGTCTATTTTGAGTAAAATAGAGGACAAAACAAGCAGAATTTTTAAAAATAAAATTGGTGAATGCCAAAAACGTAGACATCTTGCCATTTTGCTATAAATGTTGATGCGATTGCATATCAATGAAATACTATGCTAAATTAAATGGATAATAAAATAAACTCCTACTATTTCTGCCAAATTTAATTTTACACGTATGATCTTTTGCTTAAAAGTTCACATTTTTTGTGTTCTCTTTCATTAGATATTCACAATTAATTAATTGATAAAACTATTTAAAAACAGATGGTTACGTTTATTGGATTATGTTTTACCATGTCCCCGATATTTAATCAAATAAATTCGTTGAGAGATTATTGCACACTATCTCTGTATCTATACGTACGTACATATCTATAGATATGTCATAATAATCGTAAATCGGTGAAACATTGAAACAATGATTGCTTGATGATCGAGTGAACGAAATCGACTAAAATTCACAATTTTGCTTGATTTACTAAAGACAATAACGACCGCATGGGTAACTAACATGCTATTAACCATGTCAGATGCTAATTATAATATATAGCATGTTTTACGATAGATAGATAATATGTAAATGTCGGTCGAAATGATAGTAAATGGTTTTAGCACACTGCAAAGAGATATTGTCGAATTCATAAGACCGGCGAATGAAAGGAAAATTGGTGTGCGAAGTGCATAACATGGGATTTAAATTACACCATCAGTTGATTGGTGATCTAGATATTTTTAAATAAAGAGAAAAAGAAAGAAAAAGTAAGAGACTTTTAATTGAATAGTGGGATTTTTTTTGGTAAAATGATTTTGTATATAAACTCATTCATTTCGATATGAAAATTCAGTTTTTTTTCTTCACTTGAATTGAGTTTTCATAAAAAAATCGAAAAAATGAAGTTTTTGGTATGAAATATACGAGCGATTTACTTGACAAGTGTATAACTAATTTATTTTTCCTTCAATTGTGCTTTAGATTGTTTGTATTTTTGCTGTGGTGACAAGCAGCATGGCTGCAAGTGTTGATCGAAATAAGCGAGGCGTTTATGGAGAGTCTGATTCACTTAGCTCAGGATACGAACAACCGCAACAACAAGGATATAATTATGAACAACCTCAACAACAAGCGTATAGTGTTCATGAGCAGCCACAACAAGCGTACAATGTTCATGATCAGCCACAACAAGTTTATAGTGTTCATGAGCAGCCACAACAAGTTTACAATGTTCATGAGCAGCCACAACAAGCGTATAGTGTTCACGAACAACCACAACAGCATAACGAACATGTTCATGTTCAAACTGTGCCGGCGCCATATCCAGTTTATAAAGAAATTGTCAAACATATTGATCGCCCATATCCAGTACCTCACGTGGGTCCTTTGTGTTTTATTGTCTTCCATTGTGAAAAGTTATATTTAATTTCAAACTAATGACCAAGTTTTCAATATAACTTTATAAACAAATAGCCATATCCCGTCATCAAAGAAGTTCCAATTGAAAAAGTTGTAGAAAAATTGGTGCATGTGCCACAACCCTATCCAGTTCCTTACCCAGTCGAAAAATTAGTTGTCCAACACATTGATCGCCCATATCCGGTGGAGAAAATTGTTCCACAAGTATGTGCAATTGTGCATCTATTCTCATGAAGAATAATTGACAATTAATTGGATTCTTTTCTCTCTCAATTTCAGCCATACCCAGTCGAAAAATTAGTTGTTAAACACATTGATCGGCCTTATCCAGTGGAGAAAATTGTTCCACAAGTATGAATCATTGAATATTTTTATGAAAATGAATATTAATTGACGACTATGTTAATAATACAATCACTTTTTCTCTTCTTTCTCAATTTTAGCCATATCCCGTGGAAAAATTAATTGTTAAACACATTGACCGGCCTGTACCACAGGTATACTTAAACATTACATCGGATGTTCATCAATTTCAAATAGGAATTCACACCCATTAGAAACATTTTGAAAAAGAATTTTCCTCACGATTTATAACCAAATCCAAATAGGATCATATATGTAGATAAACTTATATAGTTCTTTTTGAGCTTTACGAGAGAGTCGTTTTCATTTTAACATTTGCCACAAAGTCATTTCCAAAATATGAGTCTAATTAATTTTATTTCATATTACAGCCGTATCCAGTTGTTAAAGAAATCGTGAAAATTGTTCCCGTTGTGAAACACGTGCCAGTACAAGTTCATAAACAACCAAAAGTATGTACTTAAACCATAAAATACATGCATCCGAAACTAAATGCCATTTTACATTTCTAGCACTATACTGTTATTTTAAAAAATCAACAGCCACATGGATGGGCTGCACCATCATCACACGGCTACTAACACATTTTTGATTCTTTTATTGTTATCTTTATGAATTGTTAAATATCAAAATGTCATGAATAAACACGTGCAGATAAATTATGATCTTCTTTTTCCATTGATTTTTAGCACTGAACTGCAATCTTTCACTGCATTCAGTTTACTTTGGCCCATTATTACGCTCCTTAGTGAAAACACAAAATGTCATTTTAGACCGATTTATTTCATATCGCAATTTCATACTACACCCAAAACATTGGCTGTGAGAAATTGGAACATTGGACGCTGGAAAAATTATGGCTTATTAGGTCCTGTCAAATGTACACGTTATATGCATATCGCATGCGATTTACTAAAAAAATAAGGAAAAATTAGCAATATTAGAGCCCATTTTTCCTAGATTGGACGTCTATACACAGCGTCTAGAATTTGATATTATTATCTTCTTCATAATTTACGACGTATGAAATTTAGTACAAAATTAAAGAAATGAATATGATGATATAATAGTTTTTTCTATAGTAAAGAAGCCATTAGAAAACCATAGATTTATTGCCTAAAACGATAAAAAATAAAATTCACATATAGTTGGCGCTGCATTCTATGCAAATTTGTTTTCCGTTGCAACGGAATAAGTGGAAAGAATACGTTTATTACATAGAATGTAGCGCCAAATATAGGTGAATTTTTTTTTATCATTTTAGGCAGTAATCTTATCGATTCTTTTTCAAAAAAATAATTTTATACGTCGCAAATTCTAAAAACGACATAATAGTTTTTTCTATAGTAAATTTTTCAAAAAAATAATTTTATGCGTCAAATTAATAAAAAATGAAAGTTTTAAAAAGAAGTTTTTTAAGAAAAAATTAAATATGAACACATTTGAGCGTGCCGACCACACTCTTGAAAAAAAGAGGTGCCACCATTGGCTCCAGGATCGAATGTTCAATTGGAATCAATTCCGCCAAATAATTTAATCAATTCAATTTTAGAATATCTGGATCAAACCGACGTTTGGTCTATCGTCTCGTGTAAACGAGGTGAGGTTGCGTTATCAAAAATTGTTGAAAAGGAAAACGGATGTGATGTAGAATTTAAGTATATTTTTATTATAATTATTCATACCATTTCATTTCGTACGAAAAACTTCTACATAAAGTAGTTAGTTTAATTGTAAATATCCCGTCAGGAATGGACCCCTCAAATCTTACAAAGTCGATTTAACAGTTTTTTGGTATGGAATTCTTAAAAAAACGTGGATGAGAAAAATATCAATGCTAAGGTATTTTTGGATGCTGATTCCGAATTTCGGGGTTTCCGGTCAAAAAAATCACATCTTGGAGGGCAAGGGTCCTAAAATTAATTGCTGCTCATTAATTCAAATTTTATATTTTTCACCCCCAACATACCCCCCAAAGGGTTTTTCGAAATTCGCACGCCCTGATAGTGAGCCTGATATATGAGACACCCTCATAACCAAACTACACCCACAAAATGAAAATTCCTTTTTGTCCCTTTCAAAAATCTCTCTTTGCAGGTTTTTATGAACCGGTGAACAACACGAGCACATTTTAGAAATAATAAATTATGATAGTTTTTTTATCGATGCGATAGAAAAACGAGAAAAAACCACTTTTTAAGAATTATTCTTTCAATATTGATAAGAAATTACCATAAAAGAAAGACGAAAAGATGATTAAATGACAAATAGTCAAAATTTATCGCAAATAATCCATCGTTGTGATTTATCAAAAAAAAAGATCAAAAATGAACCGGTTTACAATTAGAAAATGATATGAACGCATTCTCATAAAAATCGGTATAAAATAATATCCGACAAGATAAAGTTCATTGGCTTTGTTAAATACATAGCGGTTTTTGTTTTCTCTGTTTGAATTCTATTTTGGTTATGTCCAAAGAAAGAACAACCTAACCATACCAATTGGCCTTGAAATCTTGTTATAAACATATGGTCTTAAGGCAATCTCAGAGAACTTCTCTGAGAGAAGTAACAACCAGTTTGAAAATGGTCATGTAACATTACATCAGCTGTAAGATATACTCAGCTGTTTCTGTTTTGTAACACAATCGTTTATCGTTGATTTTGCACTGCATGCCATCCAAAATCATTTTATAAATTGAAGATATTTTCCCAGATTAATTCGATATTAAATATGCTTTGAAATTTTCACTAATTGGCACTAGCGTGGACAAACGAAAGAAAACGCAAAAGAGACATTCAAAAAAAAGAAGAATCGATCAAATGTGTTTTTTTTTACTTTTGATTCAACCGAAAACCTGTATTGTATGAAACCAATAAAGGATTCTGGCGTGTGAAAATTCACCAAATATATATTCATATTTGTTTAAAATAAAGTTGAAAACGAACTCCGGTTTTTTAAATGGTATCATTAATCTTTTATTTAATTTTATCTATTTTTTGTTTGCCATTTATTAAATTGGATTCAATATATCAGAACTGGTTCTGTGATTCATTTAAAATTCGCACTCCGAAACCGAAATGAGGCATGACATTTTAATTAAATTATGTTGCGTTGTTTTTTATTCAGATATTTTTAAGCTGTCGCAGGATTCAATTTAAAATAGATTATAGGCAACAAGTGTTTCTTAAGCTCTGTGAACTTTCGATTTATTATAAATTGAAAGACATTTGAATTTTTTTAAATTATTCAATTTTTTTTTATTTTTTCCAATTTGGCATATATATACAAGTGGAAACGAATAACAACATTCAAAAGATGATGCCGCCTAGATGATTATTTTGGCAGCATCCCATCTCTTTACCAAACGTTAAAATGAGTTCATGTGCTTAGTATTTGTATCCGCCATCTGGTTGGGATTTTTGTTGTTCGCAGACCTTAATTTCAACTGGGACGCGTTTCTCGACTGGTACATCTCGGTATTCGACACGTTCTACTGGTACTTCTACGACTTTCTCGACTACTTTTTCAACTGTGTATGGCTATTAAATGGAATTAGTAAACAAAATAATACGTTATTAGCAGAAAATCGTAAAACTTGGCATATATTTGGCGTGTGCCTTGTGGCATTTAAATATTTGAGTCGAATTAAAACATTAAAATATTTACCATTGGTACTGGGACGTCACGGTACATGACTTTTTCGACTGGAACGTCAACGTATCTTGGAACTTCCTTGAGGACTTCGTATGGCTGGAAATGAATCAGAAAAAATTCAAATTAGGCATTCTGTTATTTATACCAAAGTCAATTAAGATTATTTACTTGTGGGACTGGAACATCACGGTACATCACTTTTTCAACGACCTTTTCTACTGGAACTTCAACTTCTACGACTTTTTCAACTGGGTAAGGCTAAAGAGATAATGAAAAATAGAAATTAGGAATCTATTGTGTGTTGCAAAAAGTTAAGTTAATTTTACTTACTTGTGGTACTTTCTTTTCGACTTCAACGACTTTCTCAACATCGTATGGCTGTAGGAAATAAAAGAAAAATATATAAATATAGATACGTCGATAATTTAAAACATTTATGAGTCAATTCAAATTAGGCATTCTGTTATGTATACCAAAGTCAATTAAGATCACTTACTTGTGGGACTGGAACGTCACGGTATTGAACTTTTTTAACTTCCTTGATGACTTCGTATGGCTAAACGAGTGATAAAGGAAACAAATTAAGAATCCTGTTATATATACAACCAAAGCCAAATGCAACTGAAATTACTCACTTGTGGGACTGGCACATCGCGGTACATGACTTTTTCGACTGGAACGTCAACGTATCTTGGAACTTCCTTGAGGACTTCGTACGGCTGAACGAGTGATAAAGAATACAAATTAGGAATCCTGTTATATATACAACCAAAGCCAAATGCAAATAAAATTACTCACTTGTGGTACTGGAACATCACGGTATTGGACTTGTTCAACGACCTTTAATCAATTAAATCATTTTTTTAAAAATCAATTGAAAAAAAAAAACACAAAAAGAGCACAATAAAAGCTGCAACCAATGTTTACCTTTTCTACTGGAACTTCGACCTTTCGAACTTCTGCTACACATTGTGGTCCTTGTGTTGGTGGCAAGTATGTTGGTGCTTGTGGTTGTGGTGGACCGTAATGTGGTGCTGGTGAGTGTGGCTGTTGTGGTGGCAGGTAGCTCTGTGGCAAAAGGCCACCCATTGTGGATGCCGTCAAGGCAAATAAGCAGATCTATAAAAGCACACACAAAAAAAATACACACAACATATTAATCGATTTGAACACAAGTTTCTTATTTCATGTTAAACAAATTTCGATAAAATTCATTCTCACCAAGAACTTCATTTTTCTCCAAATGTTTGTTTCAACTGTTATTTCTTGAAAGAAGAAATTTGGTTTGATCTGTGAATCGATTGTCAAGCGCTTTTATATCAAAATCAAAGCGCACCCCACCATACTACCGTTCCACTACTGTACCATATCACACGCTCATATTGGCTCATCAAAATCAAATTCAAGATCAAGCAACACAACAATTTGGTATCGTCGCTGTCGCCTTTACTGTTGTCATCACTTCAGCCATTTGTGTGTGTGTGGATTGGATATGGCCATTGGACAATTCTATGTGTTTACGTGCAGACATTTCTCTTTCATTTCATTCTTCTCTTCTGTTTTGAGTTTACAAAAAAATCGATCGGTCATTTACATTTTATCTGACGCAATTTGCATACATTATGGTCATTTGGCGATTACCGGTATTTTGGCTACAGGCAACATTATATACATTCATTTCTATCAACCATATGACGAGCACAGCCTATTTTATATGTTATAATAATATAACGCAAACGAAGAAATATTTCCGTTTATCTTATTTTGTACATTTTTCGTTACGGATCCACATTTTGAACTCTGACATTTCTCCGTGATTATTCGATAAAAAAAATAGCCTTTGTAAAACAGTGGGAGTTTATGATGTCAAAATCTATTGAATACATTAACTTCATCAATTTTTGGACTGATGAAAGAAAAAAAACTGATCGAATGCAACGCTCATAGATGCAATCAATTTTATCTTTTTCTTTTGTTATTCAACGACCATACAAAAAAAAAAGCGAAATCATTTTATCGCTTTATCAACGAAAAGGTAAATGAACGAAAGCGTGCATTAATTGGTGTCAATTTAAAATTAGTTCCAAAAAATCATAGAATGTCACCAATGTCGTATTAAATATCAATTATATAGTTAATTTATTGGTGGTGTACAGAAAGCGTTTGCATTGTTTGTGTCAAATTAAAAAAAGGTGTCAGTTTTTTGGTGTGCAAAACTCAAAAAAATTCAGCCTTGGTATACATAATATTCGATCGTGCCCCAACTTTTTTGGCCATGAAGAAAGTGAGTTTCGTGAGATTCATCATTCTATTGTGTTTCGTTAATTATTTTCGACCGAAATCGATGACGATTTCGGAATTTATTTTTTTGTGTGCATAAAATCTACATTCTTGAAAGAGTTACGTATTACATGCAGATATCATATTTTATGTGGGGCCATTCAGGGACGTCACTGTGGCCAAACGTAATTTCGTTAAAGTTCATATTTGTCACCATCGTTTGGAAACCAGTTCGATGCGATCGGGACATTTATTTTCTATAGAACATTGCGAAATTGCTCATGTTTCATATTTCACAAAGAAGAGAGAATGTGGTTATCAAACAATGTATTTCGAAGATGTTAAAATCATAAAAATCAAATCAGGAAAAAAAGCGTTGAATGGCGCTTGTTATAGCAACACATTCGCTTGAAATGAATTTTTCATCAATGTAAAAAATGAAATTAGTTAATAATCGAAAACTCTGCTAATGATTCAAAATTTGTAAATTGAATGATTAAGAGAATTTCCCAAAAGTTGTGATTCCTATTTATAAATTATTTTCGATATTTCTTCTGAGACATAACCGGACACGTTTTTTTCACACCATACGCCCTTTTCAAATCCGCCAAAAAATCATTAATATTTCAAAATAGAACTGGTTTCTCACATTAATTTTATTTTGATGATTCTCGATCGAATCTTTCTTTTCAAAGGCAAGAATGTTTTTTTTCTTCTCTGTTCTCTCTTTTAAATGTCAACATACTTTAACCAATTTGAATATTTGGTGCCTAAATGCGTATTAGCAAAATGAACGAGAATGAAGCGTGCATTAATCACAGCTATATAAAAAAATTGTTTTCGCAAATCACAATGACTGCTGCGTGTTAATGTCTTTTATGTTAATCATAGGCTTTTATCTCATTATTCTCCAAAATATCCAAATGTTTTCTTCACATCAATCGTGTGTTTTTTTGGAATGTAGATCATTAAGCGCTGGTCTTTAATAAAGTATCATCATTATAATGATGAAAAAGACAGCAAGGCCCTCACCTTCAAAACTTTACTGTTATACGTGGCAAAAATGTGTCGAAAAGAGTGCATCCTTGCAAGATTGGCCTTGTACATACCGAATTGAAGTTTATTTTGAGCTTTTCCCAACTTATTGAAATCGAATTTTGTTTTGTAGCAAAGGCAATTGATTTCCATCATTATGCAAAGATCGCTTTGGAGGGTTTACGTGACTGTTGACCATTCTTATGATTAAAAGTTGCGTAATCACAGAAAACAGTAATGAAGATGAGGCAAAAAAAACAACAACAAAAAATCTGGTTTACATCTGCAAAATATCATGCGGTGATATAGATCGCTGAAAGAGATTTAACGTGTCAACAATGAAAAATAAAGTTAATAAAAAAACATTGGTGATAATTTGGATAAAATTTACATTTTATTTGTGGCGAATGAATTCTTCTTTATTGTAAGCGATGGTAACAACATGTAGAATGCCGTTCCAATTATATCCTAATGATATTCAATTTTGATATTTATGCATTTTGATGATATGAAAGAACAGCTTATCGAAATAATGGCTCAAGGAAACAGAATCAATAAACATCCAGTCAGATATCAATTTTATGTTCTTTTATATTATTATAGTTCATGAGAAAACCATTGTATTTTTCATCACACTTTTTTTACTTTTTATGACTAGATAAAAAAATACTTTAAGATTTTAAATTTTGTGCCAAAAAAGAAACATAAAATAAGCTTGCATCTGTTAAAGAGCTGTGAAATCATGTCCAATACATGAATATAAAAAGAAAAGGCTGAAAGACAAAGAGACTGCTGAAAATCAACTTAACTTAATAAATTCAAAGAGAAAATTTGTTTCGGTTTTAATTATCGCATGTGTTTTTCTTTTATTTCAAACAAAACATCATATTTACAAAAGAACAAAATGAAATTGCTTAGTATCCGCTGATTTCGTGTGATTTGAATTCCTCGCAATAAGGAACGTGGACTGGTACTTGTACGATCTGTAATTTAAATCAGTTTAGATTAGTCTTATTGAATAGTTTTGGCTTTATTTGTCAGCCCTTACCTTTTCTACTGGACGATCTACGTATCTAACTTTCTCGACTGGTTTTTGAACGACCTGTAAATAAAATGAGTTTAGTTTGGTTTTATTGAGTAGCTTTGACTTTGTATCTTTACCTTTTCTACGATCTTTTCAACTGGAGTTGGGACTGGCACTTGACGATCCTTGTAAACGATTTTTTCTACTGGTCGTTGAATAACCTTTTCTACGATTTTTTCAACTGGCATAGGAACTGGCACTTGGCGATCTTTGTATACAACTTTCTCGACGATCTGTGTAAGCAGAAGAAGAAGAGAAGCAATTAAAAAATTTATTTCACTAAAATTCGTGCGAAATGTGTACCTTTTCCACTGGTTTTTGGACTGTAACAATTTTTTCGACTGGGGTTGGTACTGGCACAACTTTCTCGACGGTACGGACTCTTTCAACTGGGGTTGGGACTGGCACTTGACGATCTTCGTAGACGATCTTTTCAACGATCTGCGTAAAAGGATGAGAAACGGTTAAAAAATAAATTCACCAAATAAATGAAATTAAGTGAAAATACGGACCTTTTCAACTGGAGTTGGGACTGGCACTTGACGGTCTTGGTAAACGATTTTTTCGACCGGGCGTTGAATCACCTTAATCGGAAGTAGAAAGACAATAACATTTAATAAAATGAATGTACTAAACAAAAACTGATGAAAATACGGACCTTTTCTACGACTTTTTCAACTGGCATAGGCACTGGCACTTGGCGATCCTTGTAAACAACTTTGTTTACGATTTTCTCTACTGGCACTTGAACAATTTGTGGTTCACATAATTGTTGTTTTGGCTTTTCATAGTTGTAACCTTCTTGGGCCATGGCGACTGCCACCAAGGCGAATGCGCAGATCTAAAGCACAACAAATAAGAAAATCATATTAGTTACTTTGAATCATCACAAATTATCATCTTACAATAACAAAATTATACAAGTTTCATTTCAAATAAAATGATCAAGTGTTTATTCTCACCAAGAACTTCATTTTATCCAAATGTTTGTTTCAACTGTTATTTCTTGAAAGAAGAAATTCGGTTTGATCTTTGAATCGATTGTCAAGCGCTTTTATATCAAAATCAAAGCGCACCCCACTACCGTTTCACTACTATGCCATATCACACGCTCAATTGATTGGCACACCAAATTCAAGATCAAGCAACACAACAAATTGGTGTCGTCGCTGTCGCCGTCGTCGTTGCTGTTGTCATCACTTTAGCCAGTTGTATGTATGTATATGGTCGTTGGATCACACGTAACAATTCTATGTGTTAATGTGCAGACATTTCTCTTTCATTTCATTCTTCTCTTCTGTTTCGATTTTACAAAAAACAAACCGATCGGTCATTTACATTTTATCTGACGCAATTTGCATACATTATGGTCATTTGGCGATTACCGGTATTTCTACTCTAATGCTGCCTACTAGATGCTTTCACATATATCAACCAGATGATACTCGGCCTATTATATCTTATAAGAAGAAATATTTCCGTTTATCTTAATCTGTTACGGATCCATATATTGAACTCTGACATTTCACTTCGAATGTTTGATAACAAATAACATTTAAAAAAACGGTGGGAGTTCACGATGTTAAAATTTTGATACTACACTGAAATTTTTTGATTAAATTATTTGAAATTTTGCTTTGTTATAAGAGAAAAAAAGAAGATTGATTACAACAAACTATCCAAGCATATGCTAAATTTATCTCTTTTTGTGTTTTTTATTCAAAAAAAGCGAAAAGAGTTTTATCATTTTAAAGGTAAATGAACTAACAAGCTACGAAAAGTATAAATATATGAATGGATGCGGAGAGCATGAAATGTCATGCAGTGTATTAATTAATAATTAATTTAGTTTTGGTGAGCATTTAATTTTTTTAAGGAGATATCATTTTAAATTGGGTTGATTTTTTTAAAAAAAGATCGTCCTCGCAAACAGCATCTGGCGCCATTTCAGGCCGGCCATGAAGAAAGTAACACTTTCAAACATCCCATTGAATTCAAATGGAAATTGGCGATGATTCCGGAGTGAAGAGTGCAGAAATTCATACGATATTCATACGATTTTGATGACATCACAGTGACGATACTTCGTTAATAAAGTTCAACATCAACATTTTTGGAAACCAGTTTTGGTCTATGGTTTGTCTTTTTCGTTTGGATAGAACATCGAGAAATGTTTCGCATTAGGCAACGACGCAGGCGAAAAACATGCTTCTGAAATGTTGAAACGTGTGCAATAGTGACGTTACACAATTGATTGTGATCGTTTGGTTATTGATTCATCGAAGGAAAAAAATGCTTACCATTAGAAAAGCAACAAAATGAAATGACGAACGATGGAGCGTTCAACTATGAATCTTTTTTTACACATGAGCAAATATGAACCAAAGTTTAAATATAGGAAAAAAGTTAGCACATTTCGTCCGATCGAATATTTCGGAAAGCTTATTTCCGTGTAAATACTATGAAAAGAATTAATTTGTTTTATTTTGTTCCCTTAATTTCAAATTAATAAGTGAATAAGAAAATGTCACATCGTCCAACTGTAAATAAGAGTCAATCAAACCGATGCGATATTTTGATAAGTGGCATAATCATGCTCATAAAAATCGGTTTGGTGCAAGATAAGGCAACCTTATATTTGGTACATGCTATTTTTTATGCATATCATTTTGTTGATGAAAAAATATTGAAATTTTAAAAAGTGTGCTAAAATGTAAATGTCAAAAATGACTTCGATGCAAAACTATTTGAGTTTTAAACTTGTTGCTCATCATTTCTATTGTATGAGTAACATTTATGAACTCAACACCCTTCTGGTAAAAAAGAATCACATTTAATTAAACCACATTTGAAATCTAGCGCATTTTCGTGGATAGAAAATAATCATTTTCTATTCACTCATAACTGTTTGGTATAGCTGTTTAGCGTTGACGTCCTTCAGTCTTGATATTGACACAGGCCACCTTTTCCGCTCAGATGAAAAAAGGCAATCTTCTTAAATGAGTAATTTAATTTGATTTAACCAAGATGCATTATTAACATATTTGAATGTTGACACATTTGTTTTTATATTATTAATAACTTGATCCAATCAGCATTGTTTCTGTAATCTGCATAAATTAAAGAAAAATGAACGGCAACGAAATGCGAATAGCATCCAATTCAATGATAGCATTTGATAACTGATTTAATCACGTTTGCGTGGAGAAAAAAATAACCGTTTACCGTTGATGCCTTTGATCCGTGTGAAATATTTTATCCGTTGAATTGCAAACAAAAACCTTTAATTGTTGGATTTCAATAAAATACTGGTTCACTAACTGATTATGGCCTTTTAAACACTCCACTCGTGATTTTATAGACGAAATCCGTACACAAAATAAATCACAATGTTACAAAGTAAATTAAAAACACCTGAGACACTTGAGCTGTGTAAACAAAGTGTTTGGCATTTCGGCGCGTGCTTTGAATAATATAGCGGATCGCGTGCTTTAAACGGTTAAGCCATCAAAGGTTTTTGGCCAAATTTACCGAAATGATTAGAACTTATGAGACTGAACTACAATCCGAATATTTGTTGCCAAAATATGTTTAAATTATTTATTCAACATATTTTCCTAAAGGCATATTTCTGTCATTTTTCTTTTTTCATAGAATCTAATCTCATTAAAAATTCATTTCGAACTTTTATGTGTAAACTATAAATAGTCGCATGGCAAAATCAATTTTTTAACATAGCTTCAAAAAATGAGTTTACAAAGTGGTTTATCGATTTATTTGTCTACACATGTCATGAATAAAAGAGCAATATATCACCAAAAGCTAGACCAAAAGTCATTTTTTATTGAGTATCTCTTTGAAATTCGATCAATTGTATGTTTAACAAATAATTTTTAGCAACAGCGAATACGAAAATATCTTTTAAAATGGATATCGTGAGCATAATTTTCGATAAGATAAAAAAATATATTTATAGACTAATTCTCTTTTCGGTTCAAAATGTTTAAACATAGACATTTCTTGACATTAAACATCTCATAAAAAATGATCCACCCAAAAATAGAAATTACAAAAATTTTGAAATTTCCAAACTTTATATGTCAATGTGAATTACACATTTTAGATTGTACATTCTACGAAATTGAGTTCCGTTTTTGAAAATGGTAACGTCTACCAGATTTATACAGATTAAACCGAAACCGGTATAATGACAGGAATTCATCGGTGTTCCTTTATTAATTATTCGATGACAATTGTGTGAACTGACTGATATTTAAGGTTATAGCCTTTAATTGTGCGATGACACTTGATATAAATAGTGGCGGTAAAATAAAGAAGAGGATATTTGTAGCACATCGGATCAAAATATTGTGAAGTATGTTTCACATTTGGTATTTGATGAGACAATATTTTGCATATAAATGTTTTTGGTGATCATTATGAATGCGACCTAGAATAGTTGCAATTTTGAATATGGCACATTAAACATGCAGACAGCTTTCAAATTAATTAATGACATATTGTGTTATAATATGGGCACCGAATTTCTCTATTTCGGACGAATAATTTTCGGCGAGTTTTTTCATTGTTTCTTTTTGGTTGAATTCTGCCAAGGGTGGATCCTTGGAATTCAAAGTTTGTTGGACAGAATATACTTTCTACGTTCATAGTTTTCCTATTTTTGGCATGGCATCATTAAAATTAAGCAGGATTTCTTGGATTGACCATTTATTGCTCATTGATAAAGTTATCTTAAATAATCTTTGACATTAAAACTGCAGTGAATGGAATTTATTCGAATCATCGATCGATCTTCTTACTTAAAATTGATTTATCAAAGGAGGTTTTTTTTTCAAAATCAGATTTCGAATCATTTTTGGAGCTTACGGTCATAAATATTTTACCACACAGATTTAAAATAAAACTAGATTGCTACATTGTCACTACTAATGACATATGCCACATGTGGAGAACTACTTTGTGTACTGACCTTTTGTTTATGTGACGGTTATGCAAATTAAAAATTGAAATTGGTTGTAAATACCAAAAAATGTTATAGTTTCGCTATGGATTGATAAGCGAATTTATAAACATTTGATGAATTTTTACAAAGAATACAATTTAACATTGAACACAATAGTTTTTTTTAACATTCCAAACAATTCGCCGTGTCAACAATGCTAGCCATCAAATGACAATAGAAATCGGTATTGGCCGAAAGATGATATGTTATTTTTTGAATCATTTAAATTATGTCAATTGATTCACAGCATCATAAATATGCCATCGTTTGCCACCATCATCACCTTGTCATATATTTTTTTCTTCGAACACATTTTCACGAATAAAATTGAATAATAATTTTGACGTGAAAAAATGACAATGGGCAATATAGGAATGATAAACAAACATGAAATGAAAAACAATTCACACTAGTTGGTTTCGAATAGAAAATGATGGACCCATTTCAACTATGTTAGTTTCAGCAGGTGATCTTGCTTTCTAATAAAAAAAAATTGGCGTCTTCCATGCTTCAACATAGACAAATGTTGCAAAATTAACAATTAATTTATTCAAACTTTTATTTTGGTTAAAAAATGCGTTATGTATTTGAATAAAAAAAAGATAATAAAAATCAAATAACAATGAAAGTATATGACTAGTTCTATAGCGAGATAATGACATTTATCTAGACCATCCGTTCGACTGAGGTTCATCCCATCCTTGTTGTTGAGGTTCATCCCATCCTTGCTGCTGAGGCTCGACCCATCCTTGCTGTTGAGGCTCGACCCATCCTTGCTGTTGAGGCTCGACCCATCCTTGCTGTTGAGGCTCGACCCATCCTTGCTGTTGCTCTTTAACGAGCAAAGTGTAATGCTTCAAATGCAAAAGAAGTTGAATTAGTTAATTGAAAAATAAAGTTGAAATAACTACAAACCTTTGGTTCTTCATGATGAATTGGTACTGGAACATGTTTAACAACCTCCTTAACAACGGGATAAGGCTTCATAAAATGAAATTTATAAATAAATGGGACGATTAAAAATGAGTTATGAGTTTTTTTTTCACAACTGTTTAACGACTTCTTTTTTCAAATTAAATAACAACGTAAATTAATTAAATCGATTAAATTAGTCGATTTAATTTTAATGACTTCTCATTATCAAATATATTAAAAGTTTGCTTAGAAATAACTTGGATGTATACTCGTAAGACCATTAAAAAAACTTACCACTGGACGGTCGACATGCTTGACAACTACTCGCTCATATGGTACAGGCACAATTTTTTTAATGATTTTTTCGACTGGATATGGCTTGAATATATAGATCATATAAATTTATCATTTTTCTTTTTTATCATATAAATTTATTGACGATTCGTACCGTTTTCTCAAGCAATATTATGTTTTTACTTTGGGTCAATGTTATTCGAAATCGTTATTTGATAAAAATGAGTTCAATGCATGAATTAAAATTGATTTTTTTCACGCGTAACTACCTGAGGAACTGGCACATGTTTAACCACGGTCCTTTCAATTGGAACATGAACGTGTTTCACCACCGGATAAGGCACCTTCACAATTCTAACGTGTTCGTGGTGTGGCTCGACATGTTCATAGTGTACATGTTCATCATGATGATGGTGAGCTCCTCCGAAAATTCCGCGTTTACTTCTCTCCAAATCTGCAGCATTGCTGGCCACCAATAAACCAAACACGGCAACAATCTAATAGAAGAAAAGAACAACACACAACAATATTTCTTCGTTACTAATTGATACAATATTTGTAATTTTCCTTGCACTCAAAATCAATCTTTTTTCGCACAGTTTTTTCAAGAAATTTTTTAAAAGGTTTTTCAATCATACCAGAAACTTCATATTCGCAACGTATACTTTAATTCAACTGATATTGTTCGAAGTTGGAAAGTAACTTGATTTTATCGATGAAAATTACAGTTGTTTTATATTTTGCCAAAAAAGCCCCACTTTGCATAATATTTCTTTACAAAAATAATTTCGATAAATACCGTTATTTATTTTTGTCTGGTTTCAAAATAAATCGGTTTATTTTAAGATTTGCACGCATTTCTCTTTCACTTTTATCATCATTTCGTGAAACTTGAGTAATATTTGCAAACAATTTGTATCTTTGTTTCTATTTTTAACGTTAATTTACATGACTATAAGAGCAATCTGCAACCATAATAACTAACAGTATATTTGTTGATATCAAATTAACATCATCTTATAAAATGGCATTTCATCAAATTACTTAATCGATTGCAGTCTTTGTGCCTTATTCAAACGCATTGGCTATCATTGAATAGTAAGTTAATTAGGTTTATTGTGTAAAACTTTATTCACCGCAAAATTTACGTAAATAAAATTTCGCGAAATAAATTGACACTGCATTGGTCACATTTTCAAGAATTCGAAAGTCACGAACGGAAATAATTGCTGTAAAGCAACACATTAAAAAAAATCGTAAAAAAACAAAACTGAAAAAATTCACTGAAACAAAAGTGACGAAATAATAAGTGGTGGAAGAAAATTTGAAAAACCTTTCGTTTAAAAAAACAACTGTTCTACTGTGAGGCGAAAACCTTTATCGTATTGAGTTTCTATCCAAAAACTTAAATGGTACATTTTTCGAACAAAAATATAAGCAACAATGTCTCTTCCGTTTGTTACATGGCCAAATACCTTTGTTTTTATCATGATTGCATTCGTGCAGCAAAAAACTTTTTCAACATCATAAAAAAGCACGTTTAATTCATTAAAAACACATTTTTCCGGATCTGATTGAAAGTTATCATTCATGTGGCATTTCGATTTTTAGCTATCGTCATTCATACTGCGCGTATCACGTTGAATTTGATAGAAATACCAAATGTATTCGCTACAGTATTTTATTTGACCTATACTATATTAATTTTGCATATATATTATGATTTTACTTGAATGTGAATCCCGCCAAATCGATTTACTCGCGAACAACTTCATTCTTTCCGCAATGGCCACAGCAAGCATCGATAAGTACCTATGGATACGATGCCGCTGGTACAAAATAAGTAAACAAAAATCAGCTGTTTGTCGGTTCCAATAGCAAAAAGTGCAATCCCAGCGAAACGTACAGCTTGCCGTATGGATTCGCATGTTGATGTAAACAAAACGCATTGCTTTCGCTTTCGTAGCGCGCACTGCAACATATGACCGATTCTCCGTCGCTCACTTGTGCACAGTGAGCGAATCATTCATTTTGGTTATTATTGTTTGACATTTCACTGTCGTAGAATACAGTGCTATAGTATGAATGTTGAACATAGTTCCGTAACAAATACACCATAGTATAGTAGACACACATAGAACCGCTAATAAAGCGACGGAGCAAGCGAACGTATACACACATAGTGCGTGCATTGACACAATATGTCATACAACGACTGTGAATAACATTGCCTGTTCGCCATGTTTTTTCTCTGCTCCAGTCAGTAGTAGTACACAATTGACAGTATTAGTTAAGTAGTCGTAGAGTTTGCATCTGCATTCTAGAAATACCAAAGAGAAAAAAGGAGCAAGTTTTATTCTTTGCTTTGCAGCAACCATTTCTTTTTCTAAATTGTATCATTTTTCACCGTTTACTTGGTTTTTTATTAATTTCAATTGTGAAAAATTACGTGAAATTCGAAGAATTCAAATTGATATCGCCATCCGGTCGATGAAGTGAAAAATAGGTGATGAAAGAAAATAGGACAGGGTGTGTGAAATAACCAAGAAAATGTCCAAAAAATAAACATTTTTCGATTGATTTTTATCGAAAATGCGGAAAAATGTTAAAAATGTATACAATACCATTGAATTTTATTCGTTTTGCGTCTTTGAATTGAGACAATGAATTCGTAATGTGAAAAATCGATTTGTGCCATTTTTCGCCATTTATTGTTGTTGTTGTCGTCGTCGTCGTCATCATCACCATCGTCGTTTGACACAATTTTTATCGATTTGTGCAGCGCAAAAGCATCGTAAACTATTTTAGTTCGTTGAATCCCATTGAGAAAGTATAAAAGTCAAGTGCGTATGCACTTTTTCCCCTGACACACAAAATCACCGAAACAAATTCAACCAGAGAAAAAATATATACATCATGGCTGCAACAACAACAACTGACATTCGATTACGACCATTGCCATACTTAAATAGTAAATGGTTACGTGCCGATTTATTACAGGCACTGCGTTCGCCAGAGAATTTGTCAATTTTATGGAATAATTTAATCAAAGACAATGAATTGTATTGTGATAGCAGTGGTTCGAATAGCAACAGCAACGGAACCTTTAAATTGGAAGCAATTAATTCAGCTGGAAATGTTTCATACGCACTTCCGTCAAATCGACGATATTATTGTGGCGTCGAAAAATTAACATGCAGTTGTTGCAGCGGTTATTGTCGACCCGATCCGAATTGTTGCAACTGCATGTCATGTCGTGTACTTGATGGCAGTGCCGGCGAATCATCAAAACGCTCCACTGACAATGCAGACGAAACTGAAAAAATTCCAGCATCCGATTCCATTCTCGATTCGTGGCTTTGGTGCCAAACACCAAGTAAGATAAACAAAAAAGACGTCGAATTGTTTTTTATGAAAAAAAAAAAAAAATTAAAATTTTCTTTAATTTCAGGTGAACGCGACAAAAAATTATGTATAAAAGCTCTGTTATCGGAACAACGTGAGTTATCACTGCAAGCGGCTGGTCATTCACTGACAGCCGTTCATTTGAAACAAAGAATTTTTGTGTACCATCGATATTTGGTGGCGTTGGCTCGTTCACAAAAATCATCACCCACAATTAAGAATCCAATCACTTCACTGCGTAAACAGGCTATACAAAATGAACACATTAAAAAATTGGAACTACAGGTAAATAACGCATGGTCCATTTTGCATTAAAAAAAAGCATTCCGTTTCAATCGATTGCATTTTCCCCCCTCAGAAATCCCAAAGTACAGAGCAACATATTTTAAATATTCAACAGCAAAAAGCGAGCGCATCAATTGAAAAAGCCACTTTTGGCTTGGCACGCGTTGGTACACGGGCTGCGTTAAATTTTTCATTCGCATTTTTACGTCGAGCATGGCGTTCGGGTGAAGATACAGAATTGTGCAGTGAACTATTGTCTGAAGCGTTAGACGCTATGCAAAGTCTTCCAGAAGCCTCACTATTTGATTCAACACAAGTGTCCACGTTGTGGCTCGAAGTGCTCGAACGATCCACGAAATTCCTACGTCAAGTGGTAAACAATGATTTAATGCTAAGCGGTTCAGTGCCGCGAACAGATCGACACATAGCATTGAGCCTATTGCTTGAGCTCGAATCACAAAAGGGCACACTAAGCGCATCGCTCGAATCAATTTTACTATTGATGACATTGTGGGAGAAAGAAAAAGATACCGATGACAATCGAACGCAACAATTTTCACAGAACAGCGGTGCACCACTTATACCAATTTTACGACGATTTGAAGCCATACAATTTAATAATCAGGATATTGTTACCAATACAAATGAAGGGTCCATCGCACCAACGGAATCGTTTTTAAGGTAAAAAAAAAATGTTAAAATGTAAAAATTGACGAAAACTCAATGGAAATCACTTTTATTTTTAGATTCCTTAAATTACCCGATCAAGAAACCGCAAATATTGAACTAAAACAAGCGGCCGTTGTGATAATGAGCCATCTGGATCGATTGGCAAAGCCACATTTACCGGCTTCAAATTATGTGACAAAACAAACCATTCAAAATTCAGCAACACCACAGTTATTCACCTACGGCATGATTTTTTCGAATAACGATAATTTCGGGTTTCTTTCCGATCCAATAAATAGTGATTTACCCGTTTTTGGTGAAGCATCAAGTGGTTTACAACCACATTTAGACACTTTGCTGGATTCAGTGCAAAAAACGATAACAATTGATAGTGTGGTGTGTAGTGAAAAACATATGCTTCTTTTAAGCACTGATGGAGAAGTATTTGCAATCAATACAAGCGATTATGTGATCAACGAATCAACGCCAATGGTTAAAAAACCAAATGAATCGCATGCATTCAAGAAAATCGAAGGATTTGGCAATTCACGTGTTTTAAAGTTGGCCGCTCATTACGAAGGAAATCATTTTCTCGCGTTGAATGCGGAACATCATGTTTTTGCGTGGGGTAAGTGTACAATCAATACCGAAAATCAATGGAAATTGTTTGATTATGTATTTTGATCGTTTAATTCAGGCGAAAATGGAAACGGAAGACTCGGATTAAGTGATACACAATCACGGGATGAACCAACGAAAGTTACAGCATTGGCCAATAAATTCATTTCGAAAATCTATTGCGGATCGGCATACAGTGCTGTTTTAACGATATCAGGTATTTTAACCACATATAAGATGGGGAAGACATATTTTTATTCTAATGGTTTTACTTATACTCCCAGGTGATCTCTATACATTTGGTCGTGGATATTTGGGCTGTCTCGGTCATGGCAATTCGGAAGATAAACTCGAACCGACTTTAGTACAAGCATTAAAAGATCACACAATAGTCGATGTAGCGCTCGGTACAGGCGATGCACATACATTATGTGTCACCGATGTTGGCTTGGTATTTGCGTTCGGTGACGGCGACTATGGTAAACTGGGAAATGGATCGTGCGTCGGTTGCGCTTTGCCAATTCAAATCGATGGATTGCCCATGATATCGAAAGTATTCATTGGCAATCAATTTAGCGTAGCATTATCGTACGATGGACGAATTTTTTCGTGGGGCAAACGTTATGGGGGACGGTTGGGTCATAGCACCACTGACTATGGTCAAAATGCCAAAATTGCAGCTGCCATAAAAACGATTGAAGGTCCAGCCGAATACTGCTATATACCAAAGAAGGTGTGCGCTCTTGAAGGAAAACAAATCATCGACATTGCAGTAGGCTCATCACATTGTATGGCACTGAGTAGCAATAATGAATTATTTGGATGGGGCAGAAATGATTTTCAACAAATTTGTCATCATTCGGTGTGTCGAGATCCAATAATTGCAACACCAATTCTAACAACACCGCCATCGGTACGAATCAGTGGCATTGCTTGCGGTTCTACCTATACTATACTCTATTGTAATTCATCTGTTATTCGAATTGAAACAAGAGTGCCGTATGTTGTCGATTTGAATGAGTCAACTTTTAAATTTTTGGAACAACTACTTACGATGGTTTGTACAAATGGTGGCACATCTGAAGCAACACGTCATCCACCGTCACAAGAATTTGAATGTATTGCTGTCGGTTGCTTGAACTTGTTGCGTTTGCAATTTTATTCACTTATTTCGAACGGAATAGCACCGAAATCAATTGGTTTGGCAGAAGGCAGTCGATTGTTGGTAAATTTAAAAACGCGTGTTCTACAATTGGCTGGCGGTTCGAATATTTTAAAAACAATTCAAGATTCGGCACAACGTGCTCTTCAGATTGGGTGGAGCATTCTGCTACCGTCGGCAACAGAACGTGCACAAACTCTTACATCGTTACTACCATCCGAACCAAGTATATCGACATCGGGCCATCGATTCATGACCGATTTATTAGTCAATTCACTGATGGCCGACGAAGGTTTACAAACAGCATTGAAACAAGCAATCAATACTGAACCGGAAGAATGTTTGAATAATAGTCAAAATTTGCCATTACTTCATTTGATAAAGCAATTGTTACGTAATAATTCAGCATTGACAAATGCACGTCTTTCGCAATTGCTCGTCGCTGGACCAGCATATTACAAAACCGATGACGTACTCTCAAAAACACCAGAACAATTATCACCAAGTCTTGATCTATTACATCGTTTTCAGCGACTACTATTGGCTCACATTCATCAATCAACCAATGGCGATGATTGCAATGGTGCCGAATCACTTTTGGGAAAATACGTTCAAAGTGTTGTCACATTTTGTATAACCACATTATCGAAAGCACACGAAGTCGTTTCAAATTCCAAAGAAACAAACATTTCGGAAATTCTGTCGGCTGACATTAGCGATACATTACTGTATGAATTATTGATTGGACTTGTACTACTGCATCGTGATAAAAACGGAATAATTTTACAATCGATCGATTGGAATAATACATTCGTGCCGTTATTGGGCATTTTGAATGAACTGAATCAATTGGTATGCGAATCAGAAATACAAGACAATGATAGTTTGGGATGGCCAGGCATCATTTGTCGTGGCTCATCGAAAACATCACAGTGCAACGAAGAATCAACATTGATTCGACAATCCGATTTGGAAAATCATATCGCCGACAATGGCAAATGGATTGTTATGAATGGATTTGTTTATGACCTTGAAGATTATCAGTGAGTTAACAAAACAAAATTCAAAACGTTCTGAAATAGTTAAAAACGAAATTTCTTTACAGATCTGACTGTCCCATTATAAATGCCATGTTGATGAATAACATTGGAAAGGATGTATCAAGTGAAATGAATAATCCACAATATCGACCTGTATTGGATTACATTTCGGCACACTTGAAAGTTGGAAAATTCTCCTGCAATGACAACGAAGAAAAGGTGAGTTTTATTTTGCAAAATTGTTTTTATATTTATGGAAAAAAAATTATTATTAACTCATGTATGTTCCAGAGCACAACGCATCAAACTTTAGTCCTGACGCATCTTGATTCGGAGCGAACATTATCATTTCTACTTGGACTTCGAGCGACTTTATTGCAAAAAGCATTAAATCTTCAACCGGCCGAAGTTCAATGCAAAAATCTTTTAAATTCACCGATATTTAGTGGTGGCTTGCAAAATTGTTTGCAGCCATCAAATCCCTTTGATGAAGAAAAAGGTGAAGCTCGTAGCAGTACATCGACCGCTGGAAGTACACCAACTGAATCTAGTCATGTAAATCTTACCGAATTTTCGCAACCAATTCACTGGCCAAACACGGTAATTTTACGGATTTTTTAAAAATATGTTTTGTTTAAAATTCTGAAATGTGAAAATGTGATTTTCAGCTTATATCTCATCGCGTTGATTCATTGCTAAATGGTCTGGGCGAAGGTCGACTAACCGATCCGTTAGTTTCAACATGGATCTCAATAGCTGAACGATTTTGCAAAGAGAATAATTTAATTTGGCATCAAGACTTTCCACCGGAGCATCCCATTTCTGGTAAGTAATTTAGCAGTAGTATCTTTTGGCTTGGACCAAATTGTATAAAATGTAGTATGATACCATATTTGATGAAGTTCGATCAAGAAAAAATCTATTTCAAATAAATGCAATGTCTTTTCTTCTTCAGAATTGGAGCGATTGTTAACAGCCATTTTCATTCGCCATCAAAGTTTGGGAGCATTGGTTTTAGCTGTTATTGATTGTGAACTAAGCAGTAATACGATCATGGATAAACTGCCAACACCAGTCGCCGAAATCATAAAATTAGTGCATCAAACAAAATGGACATTGATTAAAACGCGACAACAATTGAATCGCAGTTACAAAGAAGTGTGCGCATCAATGATCGATAAATGTCGATTTTTGTTGTACGAAGTTCGACCGGCGATTAGTATGGAACAGTGTGCATTTAATCGCTTAAAAATCTTACATCGAACACCGCGTTTCAAGGCATTTGTTCATAAAATCATTGTCGAAATGCGTCAATCGAAAAAGACTCTCGAATGTGCCGCAAAATTGGAGGATATTTTAAACGTAACCATTCAAAGTCAAACGGCATCGTTTACTACATGCACCAAAGTGCAATCGGTGGAAAATTTAAGTGGATCGATTCATGTCGAAAAAACCCATTCGGATTCAAGTGAAAATGTGAAAATTATTGATGGCATCATTGACGATGATCCACAAAATGATGTGATTGGCGATGAAAAATTGTTGAAAGACACAAATACGGTTGATTTGATTATTGAGAAAAAACCAACCTCAACCATCGAAGAAAATAACGATGAAACGGTAAAATTGGCCACAAATGAAATGGAAAATAATGCAACCGCACCAAGGAAACATATAACTAAATCACAAAATGCCAGCGAACAAAGTGAAGAACAATTTATCAATAATGTGATTTCAAAATTAAGTGAAAAGTGTATTGTAACTAAGTTAGCCGATGAAAGTCAATCGAATGTTATTGATGTTGCGAAAACTATGTCGTTGATCGTTGATTTTGTACTTCAAGATTCGTGCGATGTGGAAACACTGCGTCGTGCCATGTACTGCCAAGTTCAACGATACAAACTTCGAAAGCAAGGCATTGAAATGTTTTCACAATTACTTCGTGTGACCGACACATTGGATGCCGTTCAATATAGCATGCTCAGCGGATATTTGGGACTGTTTCTTGATCGAAGCAAACAACATTTCTTGGATAATGTACTTTGTGATCTAAATATGATTAGCAGCTTTCAGAAAGTCGACATGATAGTGGCTCAAGCGAAAATCATTGAATGGGCCATTTGTGAACTACAGCGATTCGTAAATCAAGATCAAATTTTTACAAAACAAAAATGCCATCCGATCGCATTGGGAAAAGATAGGTCGAATGTATTTTTGAAAAAATTGCCCAGAGCACGGTTTTTACTCAGCGTATTCGGAGTGTTATCGAAAAATATTGGACCAAATGAAATTAGTTTAGTCGTTAACGCCGGCGCATTGGGGAGTATTCTAAGCTTATTACGACAAACCGGCACTGAAAATGCACCCGGCAAACCGATGAATGAATTATCGTATGTTTATGAGGATGCCATTGTTAAGGTAAGCAATTTAATTCTAGTAGAAAGGACACAAAACTCAGCTTGATCTGACTGCAATTGATTGAATTTGATGTTTGTCCGTAGAAATGTAACAAAGCAAATCTAACCGGTCCCGAATTAACGAAACTCATGAAAATTGGAACGCGTGTTGTACGAGGACAAGATTGGAAATGGGGCGAGCAAGATGGTCCATCTGGTTCAGGTGAAGGACGCATTATTAGCGAAGTTGGCGATGATGGGTAATTGAAAAATTCGCAGAAATTCTTTAAAAAAATACATATTCAAAAATATTCAATTTCTCTTCACGAAATAGATGGGTTCGTGTCGAATGGGATAATGGAACAACAAATTCATATCGCATGGGAAAAGAAGGTCAATACGACTTAAAATTGGCCGACTGTGTTTCATCATCAATTATATCGCCCGATACCGAAACCGAAGATGAAACGTCATCAGCTGAAGGTAAAATAAACACATAATTTTATTGCTACTATGATATATCGAATTGTTTCACTTGTAAAGCTACACAAAATTTTAAGTAGCAACCCCTAGATATCTCATTTATACACCAAATACAAAAAATAATATATTTTAACATGTTTTTTTTTTTGACGATTTAGGTCATCATTTGACGGGCAGTTCGCATCCAACAAAACTTCTAAAAAATGCCAGCATGAAAATGTTGAAAATGATATCTGTCAGCATTGCATTGTACGGTGATCAAATCGAACACTGTGCATTAGCAAATGTTAGTTCAATGTTTCGAATGTTGCTCGCATCAAAATCCGGCATTTCAAATATGGGCTTACAATCATGGACGATGTTGGGATTTTTAAAAGCCATAGCTCAACCAAAACAAATGTCCAAATTACTAACTACACCAACGTGGCTAAATTTGTGCATTGATATTCTCAACAGTTCCATAACCGATGAAATGGATGTGTATAAAAAGCTGCATTCTATTCGATTACTTCATGCCACATTAATTCATTGGGATGATAATGAAAGTCACATGGTGGATAAATTCATTGAAAAGTTGTTCGAATGCTTGGGAAGAATTGTTCTATTTTGTCCAAATGATCTATCAATTCTGCATGGATCTGTCGATGTGAAATCTCGTGTTCTGCTAAGCTCATCCAATTCCAGTACAATAGCCGAAGAATTGGTGTCATTGCTTCGAAAATTACACACTTTACCTACATGGAATAATGCGATAAGTTCATACCTCAGTCAGAAATTGTGTATTGCAGCGGAATTCTTTTCGGAAAGTACAGACGAACAACACGGACGTCAATCGATTGTTCGTCACTCAACGGCCGAGTCGGAGAAAGCCTACGTATTGGCCGCTTTAGTGACGATTGGTGGTTGTGATCCAAGACCGAGAGTTGGAATGGAAATTGTAAATAGTGGCAATGATGGAACCATCACTGCTTTTACAACAAAAGGAAAAGCAATTATTAGCAACAGCATTTCCGATTCGAACATTTTTACCGAAAAGAAAAAAGTTTCGATCGCAACAGCTGCGTCATGTGCAAATTCGACATCGTTTAACATGAATCGTTTGCCATTAAATGAAATGCTCTTGAATTCGCTCACCGTTTTATTGTATGGTCCAGGTGAATGGAAGCCATATTTGAAAGGAAGCATCGATGTGAATTTACTTCGAATGCAGCAAATTCAATTGGCCACACTGAATGCAATGGGAGTTTTATTCAAAAATCAATCATCATTGCGAAAAATTCTGAGACAACGTGTACCAGGCGTATCCAGATATTCGTCCGAAGAAAGTTTAAACGAACAAGAATCTAAGATGGATGTCAATGTGCCAACTAAGGTTGAAATGTCATGCGACGATAAAAATACCACACCAGAACCAACACAACGTCACATTTGTTCGAACATTTCACAAAATTCCGGTCATAATGAGCATCATCTAAATGAAGACGATTCGGATGATTTTAAATCAAGAATTTCGAACGAATTGCTATTGCAGAATATATTGGCTCGTGCCATTCAGAGTAATCCATTGAAATCGATTTATTCGTACGAAGAACTTTCAATGGCCGCTTTGAATTTATCTCAACAATTGGCAAATCATTTGTATATGGAAAATAGTGTTCCATATTTTTCAGCTGTTGCCGGTTCATCGAAAATGACCAAGCCAACGTTGCCACCGCTGCAACCGACATTAATTCATGGCATACCGTTTTACAATGATGCGGTAAGAAAAGATTTATTTATTTATTCTCGCAAAAAATCGATTCCAGTTATAAAGAAACAACATTTTATTCCATTTTTATAGTTCTTGGACGATATGCAGTCACCGATGAGTGATCAAACTGGTAATTTAGCCACTGGCGGCGCATCAAGACGAAGTTCGGCCAATGCCCGTCGACCACTTTCTTCGGATGAAATAAACATCAATTTGGTCATGCGAATGGGATTCAGTCGCCGCACTGTTGAAATAGCCATTCGAACATTAAGTAATTACCGAAATTTTTATTTTTATTTAAAATGAATTTTACAAAATATACCGTTTCGTTTTTGTTTAGAGCAACAAGAGATTGCACCGGTGGTGGGTCGTATTGTTGAATGGATTATTGAGCATCCGGATGAATGTGCCATGACAAATTCCCAAGATTTGCGACTCACCGAGACTAATGATTCTGAAACCGAATCGATGTCGGACGCAATTGAAGCACTTTCATTGAATGAAACCAGCTTGACTAATGAACGAAAATACGCAACACGTGATGAATTCGAAAGTAATTTAGATCAATATGCAACGTATATTCGTAGTATTGTTGCGCCTGGTATGCTTGTCCGTTGTTGTGAAGATTTCGAAGAGATTCGTAAAGGTGATATTGGTACGGTTGAAAAAGTCGAACCGGAAGCATTACATGACTTGAATGTTTATGTTGATTGGAAAATCTATGGTAATCTGTATTGGATGCGTTTTGTGCATATTGAATTGCTTGAACCATCGTCGACAACATCAAATGAACAACAGTACGGTTTATCAAGTGTTGAATCGACCACTATTATGGTTGGTTCGCATGTTCGAATTCGTCAAAATGTGTCAACGCCTCGTTATCGTTGGGGATCCGTTACAAATGGCAGCATTGGTGTGGTTACATCAATCAATGAAAATGGCGATGTCACCGTCGATTTTCCACAACAATTCAATTGGACGGGAACGGTCAAGTAATTCAAAAACTTTTTTTTTTCACTTCACAACTTCATAAAATGTATGCAAATGTTTTGTTTTTGTAGTGAAATGGAATTGGTGTGTCAAGGCAATCCCGATGCAAATGATTATTATCAAAGTGGTGCACACGGTGAGGATATACAATCTGAAGGTGATTTAATAGAAGACTGGTCACGAGTTATTCGTTCGCTTTGCGTGTCGTCAAATGAATCGTCTGCCAAATACTTATTGGATCGTTCGAATAATTATTGGCAAAGTTCAAACATACAAAGTACATCGTCGGCGTCTGGCAAGCACTGGATACGCATTGAAATGCATGAAAATGTGTTGATACATTCGCTTGCAATTACAGTGAATGGATCAGATTGTTCTCATATGCCATCGTTGATTGTTGTTCGTGCCGGTGACACAGTGGACTCTTTGAAAGATTACAGCTGGGTATCAATCAAACCGTCCGATACAAATGTTCAACTTTTATCAGATTTGCGTCAATATTACAAATGGATTGAAATTGTTATCAAACAATGTCGAAATAATGGCATACAATGCAAGGTACGAGGATTTTATATCATTCTTCAACTTTTCTCACGGTCATTTTGAAATTCATTCCATCTCTCGAATTCTAGGTGCATGGTATTTGCGTCATTGGTCGTCGAAAACAAACGGATCTCGATCTGATGCTAACAAATGCAGCGTTCCTTGCATCCGATAATATAATCAACTGTGAACCAAGCTCATCTACTTCATACACTGGTCCCGATGAACGCAATATTGTCGATCAAACTCAGTGCAAAGTATTCGTTTGGGGTTTAAATGATAAAGAGCAGCTTGGCGGACTGAAAGGTTCCAAAGTAAAGTGTGCAACATTTTCATCGACACTGACACAATTAAAACCCATACACATTGCTGGCGGTTCAAAAACATTATTCATTGTATCACATGAGGGCCGTGTGTACGGGTGCGGAGAAGGAACAAATGGTAGACTTGGCCTTGGTCACAATTACAATGTTTCAACACCACGAAAACTGCCAATATTGAGCCAGTACGTTGTGAAAAAAGTCGCTGTACATTCGGGCGGGAAGCATGCGATGGCATTGACTTTAGACGGACGAGTATTTTCATGGGGTTTGATTTTTTTATTCAATAATATTGACGCAATATCAATGAACAGCGGTTGATGTAAATGTTTATTGATGATTTTCAGGTGAAGGTGAAGATGGTAAACTTGGCCACAATAATCGAATAACTTTAGATAAACCAAAATTGATCGAAGCATTGCGTTCGAAACGTATTCGAGATATTGCGTGTGGTTCGTCTCATTCTGCGGCGATCACTGCATCTGGAGAGCTATATTGCTGGGGTTTGGGAGAGGTGTGTATTTGAAAAAAAGAGAACAAGAAAGAAAAGAGTGCTAATTTTTTGCTCCGTTTATAAATAGTATGGACGATTAGGACATGGTGATAATTTGACACAGTTGAAACCTAAACTTGTGCAAGCATTGCTCGGACGTAGAGTTGTTCAAGTCGCTTGTGGCAGCAGAGATGCACAAACATTAGCCCTGACTGAAGATGGCGTTGTATTCTCATGGTATTTTCTTTTCGTAAAATGTATCTTTTATTTAACTATCTTAATGTTTTTTTTTTAAATAGGGGTGACGGCGATTTTGGCAAGCTTGGTAGAGGTGGATCAGAAGGCTGTTTCATTCCACAACCAATCGAAAGACTAAGCGATGTTGGTGTTATTCAAATCGAATGTGGTGCTCAATTCAGTTTGGCACTTACGAAATCTGGAGAAATTTGGACATGGGGAAAAGGAGACTATTTTAGATTGGGACACGGAAGCGATCAGCATTTGAGAAAACCCACACCGATACATTCATTACGCGGTAAAAAGGTGGTACACGTTGCTGTTGGTGCTTTACATTGTCTTGCCGTTACTGATACTGGAGAGGTGTTGGCTTGGGGTGAGTACATACATAGTTGTTCGGAGCTTACATGGATGCTGTCTTAACCGTCAATTCACAAGTACCAGTGATCTCTTTGGTTCAATAAATTCGATCATGCAAATATCTAAATTAGTATAACCAAAAAAAAATTCCAAAGAAAAACCTTTAGTGGTGGTGGTGGAGAGAACCACCGTTAAATTTGACGTTTAAAACAGTTCACATAAAATATCCAAACGATACACATGTTTTTCGAAATTCCGTGTACGAATAAAGTGTGATTCAAATTCTATTTATATACAGGCGATAACGATCATGGGCAGCAAGCGTCGGGCACAACGATTGTCAATAAAAAACCATGCCCAGTTATTGGATTGGATACATTTGTGAATCGTGTCGCATGTGGTAGTTCGCATTCGGTAGCTTGGAGTCTACCGCAGTGTTCATCTGAAGAAAACAAGCGCGAACCGGTACCATTCTCCTCGTCAAAAGATCCACTTGGTAGTAATGGATTGGGAATCTACGACTCAGAAAAGGCATTCGCTGCAAAATCAAAGCCACAAAGTCGTTCATCTCTATCGGAAGTTTTACTTTCGCTTGAATCGTATGGTGCAAGACAAGCAGCATTAGGTTATGTATTGAATGCGATGAGTATAATACAAGCTCGTCAATGTTTAATAGCTGCTCTTTCAAGTCACACACAAATAAATGGTTGCAGTGAAAAGATTGCAGCCGACAGTGACGAGTATTTCAAGGATTTGGAGAATTTACGTGATCACGGTACCGCTGAAGATGGTCAAGCCTTGGAAACGATTGCAAATGGTGGCGGTGAAGGGCCTGCCGATCAACAAACTGCGTGTAATGATCTTTTAACACCGGATTTAAGTATTCACGAAGCGATGCCATCGTCATTGTCAATTATACCTGCGATTGCCGGACCATTGTCTGCATTTCAAAGTTTAAATCAATCATTAAACGGTTCAATATCATTGTCTGCATCGATTTCAAGTTGCAATAATGCTGCACAACGTTCGAAAATGTCAGCGAGTGCAATGTCAGTGATGGCAGCAACAATAACACAACCCGATGAGGTGATTAATGATGAGAATGTATCTGGTTTGGACGACTTCACCACACTTTTAGGCGAAACAGAAGCGAAAAATTTAATTGATTTACTTAAATTGAGTGTAAACGGTCGCACCGAACAAATTTCATCCGCACAAACCATTGCGAATACATTAATTGCAATGGGATTGAATTCACCGCACATTTGCGTGATGATACTTGAAACATGCATCACTGAACTGGAAGATTTGTGTACATCGCGTAATTTCTTGGGCAAAATACCACGGCCAGTGTTGCAAGAAACTTCACATCCGTACATTGACAATATCACACTGGTCGGACATGTTAGAATGCCAAAAGCAGAAGCACTACGATTGGAATTCGATCCATTGTGTTCGACGGAAAAGCGCAACGATCCACTCGTTATTATGGACGGAGCTGGCAGAGTGATTGCAACACGATCGGGACGAGACTTCTCACAATGGCAACCCGAAATTCGGATTCCTGGTGAAGAAATGCGTTGGAAATTCTCAAGCGATTCAAGTGTGAATGGGTGGGGCTTCAAATTTTGGGTACGATTTTTTTCGAATTGGTTTTCTTATTGTATTGATTCTTAAACCGAAAATTTACTTTCAATAGGTGCATGCAATAATGCCGCCCGCATTTCTACAAGAAAATGGGTCAGATAGAACGCTTTTGTCGCAGCCATCAATGGATTTGGTAATTTCATTGCTCGATTCAAGCCTTGAGCCACCAAATCAAAACATTCTCTTACGTTTGGCATCCGCACTATCGACCAGCGCACAATTGAGCACATTGACAACCAGTCAACGCATTTGGGCCATTCGAAAAATGCATAAATTGTTAATGTTGAAATTAGCGCCAAAACCATTGGATCCATTGTTGAATGTATTTTTGACGCCGTTAATCGATTGCTTATTGAAGCAATACGAATTTGAAGAGTCTAGCGTTCGGTCTGGTGTTCAATTAATGCATTCAGATTATTTGAAAACTCTGGCCGCTCTGGCATGTGATATGCAACTCGATACGCTGCTTGTTAATTCAGATATGCAAAAATGGTCATGGTTTAGACGCTATTGTTCAGCAGTTCGTGTTGCCCAATCAATCATCTATCGGACACCGTTGCCAAATGCATTTTGTGCTGAAGTTCGTAAAAAAATTGTGGAAATGACACCGAGCACACCACAGATTCCACTAGCCATGGACACGTCAATTCAGTCAACCGCTAGTAATGCATCGTCAAATGCACAAATATCAACGACCTCAGCACCAGCTGCTCTTAATCCATCGCTGCTTAATGCCGGTATAAATGCCGAATCGATACATTCGGCCACTTCAAGCGAAGGTAAGCATTTAACGTCGATCTCATAGAATCGAAACTGATGAGAAAATGTGTTGAATATTTCAGAAAATCACGAGATTCCATTGCCAATGTACTTAGATCATACAGTTTTCAAAGCTCAACACGATCGACAATTATTGCAATGGTTGAATAATCGCCCGGAAGATTGGTCACTGAGTTGGGGCAGTGGTGCAACTGTCATTTATGGATGGGGACATAATCATCGGGGTCAACTTGGTGGTCTTGAAGGTAAAGTAAACGCATAAAGTTACTCCTACATTAATATATAGTTTTTAATTCCATCTAAAACATACAACAAAATGCTGTGCTTTGATTTATTCGATTGTTTCTTTTCTTCGTCACTTCTTATCACTATGGGTTGGGTTGAGTTGATTTTGAACTACATTGAATCTTAAAATTAACGAAAAATACTTAAAATTAAAACTTAATCTAAATTATTAGCTAAATTCCTAGTGGGTAACCGCGCTTTTGAATATTGCAGATAAAGAAGAGATTTTAACTTTTTTAGCGCATTTGAATAGATATAAGTACAAAATGTCAATTTTTAACAAATAAATCTAAACAAATTCGTCTTGATATTCAGGTGGTCGTATAAAGAGCCCGACACCGTGTGATTCGCTCAGTATTTTAAGACCGATTTGCATCGCTGGAGGAGAGCAAACACTATTTCTCGTTACACCAGACGGAAAGCTGTATGCCACAGGCTATGGCGCTGGTGGTCGGCTCGGTATTGGCGGAACAGATTCAATGACATCACCTACTCTAGTGGAGTCATTGCAACATGTTTTCATTAAAAAGGTCGCTGTTAATTCAGGCGGGAAACATTGTCTTGCCTTAACAGCCGATGGTGATGTTTATAGCTGGGGTTTGTATAATTCTCTTTTAATTATTCGAAATAATTGCGGCATCCCTTGATATGAAAGTTAATCTTTAAAATTGTTCAGGCGAAGGAGAAGAAGGAAAATTGGGGCATGGTGATCGTGCTAGCTACGACAAGCCAAAGCTAATTGAAGCATTGAGCGGAGTGAGTGTGGTTGATATTGCATGTGGTAGTGCGCATTCAGCTTGCATTACGTCTTCAGGCAACCTATACACCTTTGGCAAAGGAAGGTATGGTATCGTTAAAAGCAGACAAAAAGTTCCAGTTTCATACTGAAATCTGATTTAAATTATTTATCAAACAGATACGGTCGTTTGGGTCATGGCGATTCGGAAGATCAAGTGAAGCCAAAAATGGTCGAAGCACTGATTGGTATTATTATATTATTTTATTATATCTTTTTAATATAGTATAATTATATCCTTTTTAATCTATAATAAGGTTATCGCGTTATTGATGTTGCGTGCGGTTCTGGTGATGCACAAACATTGTGCATTACGGATGATGACAGTGTTTGGAGTTTTGGAGATGGCGATTATGGTAAACTTGGACGTGGTGGATCTGAAGGTTGTAAATATCCGATAAAAATTGACAGTCTTGTTGGTTTGGGTGTGATTAAAGTTGAATGCGGCTCACAGGTACTTAAAACAATATTTGTAATATCAAGTGGGTACTTAAACTGATTTCATTTTCTATATAGTTCTCCATTGCATTGACACGTTCTGGCTCCGTTTATAGCTGGGGAAAAGGTATGTCACAATCTTCAATTCAAGAATATTCGGTTTCACAAAACAAGTAAAAAAAATATATTTTTTTTTTCATTTCAATTATTTCATTGAAAAATAGGTGATTATCAACGGTTAGGTCATGGATCCGTTGATCATGTGCGACGACCAAAGAAGGTGGCCGCATTGCAAAACATTAAAATTGTCTCGATTGCAACCGGATCTCTTCACTGTGTAGCGTGTGATGATAAGGGTCGAGTTTTTGTGTGGGGGGTAATTATAATCACTTTCAACATTACATTTCCATTATATTTCATGTTGATTAATTTCCATTTTTCGTTTCTGAAAATCCATCCCGCCTAATCCAGGATAACGATGAAGGACAATTGGGCGATGGAACTATTTCAGCCATACCAAGACCACGTATTGTGACTTCGCTGCAAGGAAAGTACGTGGTGAAAGTGACATGTGGTTCAGCACATACATTAGCATTATCAACGTCTCAAATTCATGATGCAATGCGCTCTCCGCCCAGTCCACCGCTTGAGTATGACTTTGTTCGCGATTTACCACCCGAATCGCTTTATGCACGGCTGATTCTATTGCATCATTTCTCTGAATTGATGTGTCCGTGTTTCACTCTACTTCCAATCGATGGCGATGTATCATTGGCAGCGCTTAAGGATGTACTTGTGTACAGTATCAAAGAAGCGGCATTCCGAAAAGTTGTTCAAACCACTATGGTTCGCGACAAACAACACGGGCCTGTTGTTGAATTGAATCGCATTCAAGTGAAAAGATCACGAAGCAAAGGTGGATTTGCCGGTTCCGATGGCATGAAAAGCGTATTCGGACAAATGGTTCAGAAATTACCATTGATAAGTAAGTGTTCATGTTTGGTTTTTGAAAAATGATGGTGACATTTTTAAACATGTTTATTTAATGATATAGATCAAGAAGCTCTTTATCTACCGCAACGTGTGTGGAAAGTCAAGTTTGTCGGTGAAAGTGTTGACGATTGCGGAGGTGGTTTCAGTGAATCAATAGCCGAAATGTGCGATGAATTACAAAACGGATGTGTACCACTTTTAATTCAAACACCAAATGGACGCGGCGAAGCAGGCGCAAACAGAGATTGCTTCCTATTTGATCCGACATTAGTTACGGTACTGCAAATGAATATGTTCCGATTTTTGGGTGTTTTGATGGGAATTGCAATGCGTACCGGTTCACCATTGAGTTTAAATTTAGCCGAACCAGTGTGGCGTCAATTAACCGGCGAACCCCTGCGACCATCCGACTTAACTGAAGTCGATCGCGACTATATCACCAGTTTGATTTGCATACGAGATATGGATGACGATCAAAAAATTTTCCACGCACTTGATTTACCATTTTCAACGCCATCTGCCAAAGGCCATGACTGTCAACTATCAACAAGGTATGATTTTTTCTTCATTTCCATTAACATTTCACCTTTGATGTGAGAATAATAAATAAATTCGATTTGTCGCGCTTAGATACACAAAAGTGACACCACAAAATAAACAAGAATACGTGCGTTTAGCTTTGAATTACCGATTACATGAATTTGATGAACAAGTCAAAGCAGTTCGCGATGGAATATCAAAAGTGGTTCCAGTTCCTTTGCTTTCGCTGTTTTCAGCATCACAACTTCAGGTACCTATAAAATCGACCAAACGCTCAACCGAACATTTGTCATTTTAAATCATTTAATCGATTGTTTGTTTTTATTGCAGGCAATGGTTTGTGGATCACCTGAGATTCCACTTGGCCTGTTAAAATCAGTTGCTTCTTACAAGGGAGTCGATGCTACATCATCGCTGGTTCAATGGTTCTGGGAAGTGATGGAAGAATTTTCAAATCACGAACGTTCATTATTCCTGCGTTTTGTTTGGGGCAGAACAAGATTACCCAGAACAATCGCCGATTTTCGTGGCCGAGATTTTGTTTTACAAGTTTTGGATAAATATCAACCACCCGACCATTTTCTACCCGAAAGCTATACTTGCTTCTTTTTACTTAAAATGCCACGATATTCTTGCAAGGTATACCGACATTAGTTTTTCCTCCTTTTATCACTTTTTATTTTAATTTTTTTTTTCATTAATCAATATTCGTTTTTCTTAAACAGGCCGTTTTATTGGAAAAACTAAAGTATGCCATTTACTTTTGTAAAAGTATCGACACGGATGAGTATGCACGAGTAGCAATGGTTGATCCCACCGAACCGACAGCCAGCGGCGAAAGCGATATGGATTCGGAAGTTAGCGAAGAAATGTAAACCAAATCGACACATAGAATAGCCAATAATTTTTATTATCGTTCAATTTTCGATGTTTGTTCAAAAAATTATAGTAGATGTTCTAGTGAATTGAAAACAAACAAAAAAAAAAGACTCGAACTTCATGTCATTCAGTAGATCAAGTTATGTTTACAAAATTAGTAGACACTTAGCCAGTTCCAAATTATTATTACAATTAGAGAAGAAATCAAAACAACAAAAACATTCACCATTCAAACTAAAACTTGAAGAAAAAAATATAGACAAATTCCAATTTTGCTTAATAGATCAATTTGCTGAGCCATAAAAAAATGAAAATAGGATTTAGTTTTAGTTTGATAATAATTTGAACGGTAGCAGCATATGCGAAAAATACTAACTGACTATTTTAGGGAAAATTGGCAAAGTAAGATTATACCCAACCAAGATAGATAACTTAAGCTAAAATTTCGACTATTATTCAATTGGTCCCGAAATAATTGAGTGGTCAATGTCTGCCAAGCGACCATAGTCGACTTTTTTACGTACGAAATTACAAAATTGATGGATTTTGTTTTCCATATGGGACTGCCAATTTTCTTTCATTTGCAAAATTGCCTTATTGTAATATCAAAAATTCTCATTATTTACTGAAAGTAATCCAACATTGCACATCACTACCATAATTAAAATGTTATTATCGAATAATAACAAACGGAATTAATTTTCCCAATCAATCTAAAGCGATCGCAAGTATCATTTAGATTTTTTAACCAATCTCATATAACCAATTTACATATAACATACGATCTCCTGAAATATTATATTTCCATAAAAAAAATCCAAACCTATTTAAAAAAAAGTATAGAATCGAATATATATGTATGTATGGAATAGGAGAAAAACAGAGGTTACTTATTTTTTATTGAATTTGTTCAAGTCCTCTCTAAACAAACGAAATTCATTTTGTACGAATTTATGATTCGAATTTGATTTCTAATCAATCTTTAAATTAAAAATGAATTTCTTCATGTTTAAATATTGAAAAAAAAAAAACCATGAACCAAAAGAATTAGAAACATCCAACAATTTAATAATTTACAATTATTCTTTCAAATAAATATTTTTTATTTATTTTTATTCAAGCTTTTTGCAAAAAAAAATAAAAAATAAAATTCGCACTAATTTTGCACAAGATTTTAAATGCAATGTCTTTAATTCTTGAAAAATCGTTCTCTTTGAATTCATTCTTTTTGAATTTTGATTGTATATAGTATAGTATATTCACCACCAATCTGTCAAACTTAACGAATCCACAAAAGTCGAAAAATTTTGCGATATCTGTTTTGACAGCAAATCTCTCGTGAAACAATAAACAGAGCACACCTTATATAATAAAGATTTGTCGGAAAATCGGCAAATTCATCATAAATTCCATAAATTGAAAGCAAATATTAAAGTAAGTATTCACTTTTTTGTGTGAAAGAACTTGTTGGCGAAGCAATCCGTTTAATAATTGATTTGTTTCATGTTTGTTTGAACAGAATGGACGGCCCACAATCGAAAGCAACAAATCTTTGGGTCCGTGGTGTCTTGGAGCACCCATCACTCAAGAAACCATTTAAGGTTTGTTTTTTTCATTCAAAAGTGCTGAAAATTTGCATCGTATTGAAGGCACAGAAAAATCGTCGAACATTTTCTAATGCCAATTCTTCTACATTAACATTTTGCAGGCAAACTTTTTAACCTATGCATGTTTTGCCTTTTTGGGTGGGTACTTCCTTTACAATATTCCAAAAATGATCTTTTTGGATGGATGCAGAGAACCAGAACGCACCGCTTCTGATGCAAAGAAATATGATCGTGCAACCAAAAGCTATGTCGGATAAGTGCTATTTTAAATTGGTTATCTGTCTCATGTGAAAGATTCTCAATAAAATTGTTCAAAAAGATATGAATTTAGTTAAAACTTTGGCCTTTTCTTTCGCACATGGCGTTCATATCGTAGACATTCTTAATTCTCCCAAAGATTTTTCTAGCGACGAAAATGTTTTTCATCTATTAAATTCATAAATTAAATCATCGCATTGGAATCATATGCAGTGAGTTGCTTTCGTTAAGTTCAAAAAACCACTTCTGACAGCTGTCAATTGGACGTGAAATATAGAAAAACATTTGCGAGTCACACAACCTCTGTTTTGCACAGTTTTGTTCAATTTATAAGATAATCTTCTTTTGGCGATGAATTTTCAAGAGGAATCAAGCTTAAGGATGCAACAGAATATTCCGAATAAAATGGCAAATGTGAACAATCCGTTGGCTCGAGAACTAATCGAAGCTCGTGAGAAGATGCGACAACGAACCCAAATCGAAGCACTGAAACCATTGTACAAGGTACGAAAATGTGAAAAAAACAGCTTCATTTTTTTGATACTAATGGCACAACGGTTTTTTGTCTAATTTTCCAGAATCGAAGCAATAGATGGACTGTTGTTGCTATATTCACATTATGGTTAGGAACGAAATTCTACAACACAGCCAATGGAACTAAATTGCATAAAACGTTATGTGAGGATGATGAATAAGAATGAAATTTATCTCTTTAGCCTAAAGAATTTATTGTAAATAGCTAGAAAATAATTAAATTAAAGAAGAAAAAAACACGAAAAATTCAAAATCATGTCATTTTATTTCTCATTTTGATTCATCATAATGAAACTCAACTCAACGAAACGACTTATCATTGAACGAAATATCGCCACTGTCACGATATGATGGCGACAAACTTATGACATTGACAAATCGAAACTTACATAAGAATCATTCCGTAATCATTTCTCCCCGAGAATTTTCTTCGCAAATTTCGTGGTCTCACTCGCAAAAGCTAATTTCATTGTAAAAAAGTAAGTAAAATCTTGGAATTAAAGTGTTTTATTTGAATCAGTTGTCAATTACATGAAAATTATCACCGAAATGATGATGTTATGCACATCTTAATTGGATCTTTTTCAATTTATCGTTTGTTGTATAGAAATGGCTGGTGGAGGTGCAGATAATCCTAACCTAAAAGGTAGAAAAGAAACTACGTTTTTTATATTTCATTTATTTATATAATATATTTCTTTTGTGAATGACAGGTTTATCCCGAATTTTCAATTCTGAAACCAATTTCGGGCGTCAAAACGTAAGACCATACATTTTTGAATAATTTCATTCAATCGAAAACGAAAAAAAAAAACTAATTTTTCTGAAAAAAATTGTTTGTTCTGTGTTTCGTTTAGTGCGCCAAAGCAACATTCGCTGCAATGGCTCTCATCGCTTTATACCTTAAATTCAAGCCAAAGAAAGAAGCAAAGTAGATGTCTACCACCATTAGTCGCACGGAGATTCAATTTTTTTTTAGTTTAGTTACATCAAAAAACAAATCAAGAATATTCAGTACGGAATTTCAGTTAAATTAGCGGAAAGCATTAAAAAAATCGTAAACTATGGAATCATTTGTTGTTGATTTCACATTTTTTTTCATCATTATCGATGTGAACAAGAAATTGTAAACACTTTGCTTCTGTTCAATTCAACACTAAAATAAAAAGAAAAAAAAACTTAAACTAAGAACTAATGGTGTTTGGTTAATCGAGTCGCAAATTCAGTCAATTTTTAGGAAATCATTCGAAAATCATGTGATTAAACCAATTCAGGTGCATCAGCCGATGATAAATCAATGCTGATAAAATCATCGAATCAAAACATCGCATAACATCGACGGTGCTAGCTAACACCTACACTAATGCATCAAATGGTTCATTTTGACGTTCCGATACACAGTGAACGACACTACAACAACAATAATCACATGATTCGTACACAACAACATCGGCGTATGCAACACAAACAAAGGTTATAGATCTTATGCCACAGCGATTCTGAGTTGGTGAGAGTTCGTTGTATTTTATCGTAGCTGAAGCGTTTCAGTTGAGAACAAGTTTTACTTGCGAAACGTTCCGAAATTGTTGAAAGCGGTGGCAAACGAAATCGAAACATCGTGTGTGAGTGTTCTGAAAAATTCATAATTGGTCTACGAAGCAAAAAATACGGTTTAAATTGACTTGGTGGAAAAAATGTAGTGAGAATTTCTGTTCTCTTTGTTTCGTGTAATTTCCATTGTAATTCTGATTTTTCTTCATAAAGTTGAAAACTGTGTTTTTTTCACATTCAGATATTACTAATTAGATTCTGTTGACAATAATATTGAATCAAACAACGAATATATGAAAAAGTCAAATAAAATTTGTAAAACTAGCGCAACTATTCACGTTCGTCTAAATTACGTGCATAGTGCGACTTCACTACTATCGGTGTCCAATCAAATATGCATACTTTTTTTATTTGTTTGTTTTTCCTCTAACGCCTGTGGAAGTTAAGCATCCAATAACTTGGCAACCAGTTGTAAATAATTCCGTATGATTGCAACATAATGGTGATTCACTTTCACATAATATGTGATGTGTTCGTTGTATATATCTTTCTTCTGGTTTCTTCTATAGCATCGGCAATAGCGGAAATTCAATGTGTGCTAGTGTAAAACTTTCATCAACACGATTTTAAATACGAAAAAAAGAGATGTGAATGAATTAAATTATTTTTGTAGCAAAAACAAGAGCAGAGATGAAGCAACATAAAAACGATAAACAAGCGATTCATAGTCCGTATCCAACATTCGTTTCAATGATGATTCTTTGTTATGTCATTTAATATTCTTGTGAATAATCGCGTAAAACTGTGACGAAATTTATAGAAATTCTTCACGCAGTATATAAAACGAGATTTTTTTTTATCAAATATCATTCTGAAATGTGTTTTATTGCTCAATGAAAATCGTTTTATGGTTAATTGTTCGCTTAAATCGGACGAGGACGAGCAAAACATTATTTTAGACAAAATTAAAAAAACGCAAAGCGATTCAGACGCAAAAGTTGAAATAAGCGATGTATTGCCTTTAAAACGTCATCATCATAAACGATAAGAAATCTATAATTAATTTCTATCCAAAAGGCAAACAGCGATTCCATTGCTTATCGATTGTTCGGGTGCATAGATAATGTTGGTTCGACGTTGAATATAATCACTGTTTGGCCACAGTACATGAATGTATGCACCGAATTTTTTTTTTTGGTTGCTTTTCTTCCCTTAAATTATACCGTCGTAGTTGCTTTGTTAAAGTGTTCATAAAAAAGGAGTTGTAATGGCTGTACATTTACAATATCATGCGCGTCTCAATTTCTTCTGCCAGACACAAAGAAACCAAACAAAAGAGAATTGCAAAAGCGACGGCACGAGAATGGCACGCAGCAAATAACCAATGCACAAAATTATGGCAAATAATAATTCTTTTTAAAGGAGTTGCGCCTTCTTTGAGCTCACAATAAAAGGAATCTATTGAAAACGAACAAAAACCAAAAACAGCACACACAATAACATCCAATTTGAAATATGAGCGAATGTGTGCATGTAAATATGCAACGAATGAAACGGGTCTGCGTTGTAAATTTAAATCCAAGTTATCAGCAAACATTTGAATACGTCTTTCTACATTTATAATGCTGATATTTGCCTACAACGCTATAAATTCCCAATGAATTCGTTGTCGTAACGCATATAGATGACCTTTTTCCACGAATTAAATCTTTTAAATCGATTTTTAAATTGAAAGAAATGTCTGTTGATTGGTTTCCATCAATAATAATAATGCAATGGTGTGATTTTCAATATATTAAAATATTTAACAGTGTGTGTGTCCGAGAGAGAACGAGATCGGCCCTTGAACAGTAAATCAAAGTAAGAAGAACTCGGCGACCGATGTACATGAACATAAAAAAACTGTGATTTTGTTGTCTATTTTTACGATTGAGTCTCTTCTACACCGAAACGCCATTGTATAATGTTCGCTCGTTATACAGCTATGATGATGATGATTGTATTTTGTCGTTTACATTATTTCAAAGTTCAAAGCTCTTTAGCATGCGGAGGGTATATTTTCAAGCACCTTTTGTTTGTGTGACAAACGAGCTGAGGTCTTGAACATTCGTCTAACGCATTTTGGAATCTCTGTCGCCATTGAATATTATTATTATCAGTCTGGCTGGTTATTTCATGACAAAACCCCTCTATATATCTTTATCATTGAACAATGAAATTTACTTGAAATGGAAATGCATTCAACATCTCTTTCATATCACTCAACGGCCACTCAAACGAAGAGAAAAAAAAAAACAATATTCGAGAAGAATGCAAATTGAAGCAACCATTCATTAGGATATGTTTTCGTTCATTTTCATGGTGTTCTTCAGCTCGTAAATTTGTTTGAAATTGTCAGCGTTTACAAAAAGCACAGTCACAGAAAAAATATACAACCGACACACTCAAAGTCTGAGAATTTTTTTTGGTGCCCATTTTGATCTGTTCCCGTTAACGTTCAACGTTGGGTTTTTTTTGCTATTGTTGCACATTATATGAGTCATATCATTCAGTAAGCGCTCCAATCGGTGTAAATAAAGTCCAGATCGTTGGTTGCAGCTATTTTATTCATTTAATAGATACAAGCAGTTATGTAAAAATAGCAGTGAACTTCGGCGTTACGCTAATTATTATATGGATTGTAAATAGCTTGTTTATTGAACTATTAAATGCTTAACAGCTTAAGTAATGCTTTTAAATAATCATTTTTGTGATAAGCGACGCCTAACTTTATGATTTACGATGGTTATATTAACTCCCCCATATTGATGATTAAGAAACGGATTCTATGGTTTTATACCGATATGCATTTATATCGATTCGAACAAAGGCGATATTTTGAAACAGTTTATAATGTGTCATCATTGTTTACAAATTGCTTTGGACAGCAGAAATAACACAGTAGTCGCAAATTTACCTACGCTGGTGAACACATTCCATTTGGCGAAAGTCTTCAATTTTGATGGTTCGCAAATAAACATTGGGTTGACCCAAATGGTTTTTTCTCTCTCGTCAAAATTCCGTTATCTTTCATTTCTATAAAATAAACAGCATTCGATTGTGACGACTTTGTTATTGATGAATGTGTTTGCACTTATCTAGCCACTGAGTGCTTGTGCACTAAATAATATTTAGTAAATATACAATGGCGAAAATTAATAAAACAAAATTAACAAGTGAAATGAGAAAGTGAGAATTAGCGTGTGACATAAATCATTTCAAAACACAGGCCATCAAAAGAGCATGATTTTTTGAATATTCGCTATTTAATTGGGGTCATGGTATACAAAAAAAAATCATAATTTTTAAATTATTTGTAAACTAAAAATTCTTCAAAATAAAAAAATCTCAGAAATCAACTTTTCACTATTTGTTTTTGTCGCTATTCCTGTGATTCATGTTTTTATTCATTTTGATGTTTCTATAGATTAAGTCAGAGCGATGATAGCAGAAAAACAAATAATTGGATTTATTGCTGTATAAAATTGTTTGTCATACAAAAAAAGACTGATATTTGGTGGTATAGTTTGGAGCGTAACCGCGGCTCAATTGGCGCTCATTGGACGGACAAAATGTCGAAGCAAAAAAATGTAAAGAATTTAATTATGAACGTATTGCCTGACAATCGACCAATCACATCGCTTCAAATTGTCGAAGATTATGAAAAGTAAGTTCAAAACATTATCGGAAGAAGAAAAAACTCAAAATAAAATTGTTTTTTTCGTAGGTGCCCAAAAAATTTTGTGCCAGTGCATCGTACTCATGATCAAGACTCAGATGCTGATTTATGGCGTGAAACGAATATTTTTGGTAAACGTTCCACACGATACTTGTGCCTGTCAAAGAGCGAAGGTCTTCCCGAGTATATTGTCGAGAAATTGCGGTAAGTGAAAAGTAGCGTTGGAAAAAAATCGTTTTGTATATTAAATTAAATGTTTCTTCGTGCAGAGTTTGCGGCGAACGTGAGTGTCCAGGAGAGGGTTTTTCAATACTAAATCGTACAGCAGACACAGAACACAAAGCATGGCGAAAAAAGCAGATATGCTATCGTTTGGCGAAACGTGGCTCAGTTAGCACAGCCGTTACCGATGTGATATTGTGTTCAAAGACAAAAATAGCCCCTGAAGGATTTACACTGGCTGGCGACATAAATGGAATAACAGTGTGTTTCAAAAGTGGACCGATCCCGCATCGACCGCCGCCATCGATTCCAACCGATCCATCAATAAATGAACTTGAAAATAATCTCTACTATATGAACATACGAAACGGATCGAATGGCACCAACTTCAATGGCAATGGAAAAACAAACAATGGCAATAGTGACGATTATGAACTGATTCGAACATCTTATCGATTGGATCCGCCACCACGACCAGGACCAAAATTCCCAGCAGTTAGTCAAGCAGGTAAATAAATGGAATTCTCGATCTAGTGAAAATGAAACTGATAACATTATTGTATTTTCTTTAAGCATCTTCCACCAACAAAAACACCGGCACCTTGGGAACGCATACTGATATGGATGGTGTACCATTTGTTTTGCATTCATCTTTATCTGGCAATCCAATTGGTGATTTTGATGTAAGTTTCCACAATCCCACATGATCATAACCGAAATATCTAAATTAAACATTCTACATCTCATTGCAGCTATCGAAATTTGATTTTACCAAAAGAATTGACGCGGCATTGGACTATACATTTCATTTGGAGGTAAATACATCAAAATATCAACCGAATAGAAAAGAGACATTTTTAATTAAATTGTATCTTTTTAGCGAGAAATTTTATGCACTACCAAAACACCAAATTCGAAAAATCCATTTTTTGCGGCAAATTAAGCTGGATGTTTGCTAAATCGAATTTACTTGACATAAAAATTGGCCATTGATAATTGTCATGCGAATTTACTATATTATTGCAATGTGAAGGAATGTGTCTGAATAATTGTGTTCAACGAATTTTTAAATGACAATTTCGCTACAACGATGCTACGTGAAATAGAATCGAATAAAATAAACAATCGTAAACAATATAATCGAATTTGATATAAAACGTTAGAAGTGTCATTGAGTTTATAATCACATAAAATGGACGATATCTGATGTGAAGCTCTAAAAGTGTTGAAATTATCTCTTGGTGTTCATTGTTATTGAATGGGAATTGTTAGAATGTTCTATTGGCTGCTCGTTGCAATTAAATATAGTATTATAAATGAAATTAAGCTCATTTTGATTTATTTTTTTATTCAAATTAACTGTGTGAATTGTGTGATTCAAATTAACTGTGTGAATTGAACTGTGAGCAGTTGCCACCATATCACGAATATTTACCGAAACTCATAGACTTCACGCGAAACGTTTTATAGATAACACAATTCCGATACAACGCAAATTCATTTTACAAAACAAAAATATACTTTTTCTAACATATAGCCTATAAAGAATTTGGAAAAAGAAATATACTTAAGAAGGCGATACGATCCTTCATGACTACGTTCACTGTATAATTGATATAAGATCTGGAGCTGATTTAGTCATTATTTCGGTTAATTTTACTGTATATCCAGATTTAATATAGAAATAAATTGATTTACACTATGTGAAATGTTACTCTTTTATTTTGTCAGCTTTTTTAAAATGGAAGTTTTTTTTACATCACTTTCAAGCGATATTGCTACTCATTTGAACGCATTGGGAACATAAAATAGGTGAATATAAATTCAACTGATATTTTCTGAATTTTCTTTGAATTTATCAGTTAGAATTGTCTAAAAATCTAAAGAATCTAAAAAAATTGAAGAACCGCATATAACAAACATATTTAAATCCATTGAATTTCGAAAAAACACTGTTCGGCAAGCATTATTTCAAAAACCACACACCGTGTGTCGCTGTTGGCGTTTGTATTTCGAATTCGCCCGTTCAGCACTCAAAACGAATTCATTCGCCATTTTCTTTAGTTTAAATGGTTCTGTGTGTGATTGATTTTCGCATCGCCACACGTACGCACACATGAGCATACAAATGGTTTGTAATACCGTACGAGTTTTCGCCGTCACACGAACTAGGTTTCGATAGTGTCTCGAAATCAGCCAGCAGTAGCAGTAACAGCGGCAGCCCACTAGGCAGTAGTAATACTTTTCAAAAGCAATTACTACCAACAAAAAAAGTTTAATACAGTTTAAACAGAATTTAATTTATATATATATTTAGAAAATTTAACACAAATCAGTTTATTCACTTAAAAAAAGAAAAAGTTTGAAAATCGAAGAATAAGCAGCATATATAATTTGCAATTCAATACAACAAAAAGTAGTGGCAAAAAAAAAGAAAGAAAGAAGGTCTTGCGACAGCGTAATACATAAAAAGAAGAGAAAAAAAACAAGTGAATCCACGGGAAAAAAATAAGAAGAAGAAGAAGAAATCGTAAGCAAACTCGATAAATTGTATTCTCCTGTTGAAATGTGTGTGCGTGTATAATTTGTCATTTCAAATAAAATCCAAATCATTGCGGAAAGAAATTATTCGACGAGAGTGAGAGAGAGAGAGATAAATTCAAGTTGCATTTTTGATTCGCATTTTTATTGTGTGTGGCGTGCGTGTGAAGAAAAAAAACTACAATCAGCCCAAAGTGAATCTGAGGAACTGAATGCAGAAAATTATTGCACAAAAAAATTGCAGCATAAAGTGCAACGAAAATAAATGAGAAAAAAAAGTAATCGGTTCATTGTTTGTATGTCATCGTGTAGTTTCTGCAATTGAAAATCTCTCTGCAAATTACAATTTACGATAGTCCATCAGTTTTTTTAAACCTGATTTTGGCAGAACATTTGATTGTAGCACACAATCCAATAAACATTTTGATCCGTCCGTTTGTGAGAGAGAAAAAAAAGAACAATTACACCTAACCAAAAAGTAGTGAAAAAGAAGAAGCTCGAATCGAAAGAAAGTGTATAGTTCTTTTTCATTGACTTCTTTGTGGTGCATTCATCGCTAATTTGATATCGAATCATTTGGCAGCCCGTTTGATTTGAATACCGATCTATCGTCCAAAATCAAGGTGAGTTTGTTTTACGAAAAACAATTTTTCGGTTTCTTGGAAATTCATCATCGTCGTTGGTCGTCTCTTTGTCGGGCATATTGACAGAAGCACATACCAAACTGAACGCAATATAACTAATGACATTGCTAATTTTCGCCAATCCAATTTTGCTCAACACGAAAATTGCGTCGAAAGATCAGTGCAATGAATAATACATAGTGAATGAATTGAACGATTACAACTTAAAACATGGCAATATAATGCTTGAAACGAAACATTAAAAAAAACGAGTGAAGAAAAAAGAATGGATTTATCTGATGTGTGTATATCGGATATCGGGAACATACATTTACACGCCCCATATGTGTGTGTGAGTGAATGTGACCCGTTTGCTATGTTGTTTGTGCGATCGTTGTATTAGTGACATACATCAATTACCTCTCGAAACAAATCAATCGGCAAAAAGGCATGTGAGAAGGTACAGCGAAAAATAATAAAAAAAAACTAAATCGAAATATTCTTTTTATTTTCTCTGCTTAAATGGCGTTCATCACAGTTGTATTGTATCGATACATTGTCACATATATTTAACTTTGAATCAATTGTTTTTGCCTTCTGCGATTGAGAAACAGAGCAGTGTAGAGAAACCGAAAAGTTTGAAGAAATAAAAAAAAAGATTGCAGCAGAAAAAGAGCGTAATCATGTCGAATAGACTTTGGTATCGTACGCCATGTGTGTAGCATACATTAATCGTTTCTCATATCACCGATATGCATGTATATGTATTTAGTTGTGTGACTTTGGCCATTCGTTTGCCAAAAAATTTACAAACACTTTTATTAATTCATATTGATTAAAAGTGTGCATCGTTCAAAGTTTCATTTATTCTTTGGCAAAGAAAATTCGTTCTTCTTCTTCTTCTTTTTTTTCTATGCGGATTTGTCTCTCATTCAGCATGAAATATTTTCGCCATTTCGCCGCATTTTGTCGGTGTGTCGTTCACTTGTAAAAACGCACACACACACACTCATTCCACTCCAATACAAATGTAAATGCTTTCCTCTGCTGTCTAGCGTGTGTTGTGGGATCGGCATTTGATGCCATCTTTGCTCTTTTCTCGTTCGGTGTCACACGTACACAGAAATGGAAGAACAAAAAAGAAACACACCAACATCAAATTCACTCGAGATCATCACGGTTCGCTTGATTTGTGCATGTGTGCGTGCGTGTATAGTTCAATTTTTGATAGAATGGCGTGCGGCGTACGGTATGTCGGTCCTTACTGCCAACAATTTGTATTTTATTTTACAGACAGGCAAATTAAGAATTGTCGGCCAACAAACGATTAGTTTTGAATAAAAGTGTAAAACAATGTAGAAAACATGAGTGGATGAAAGACACATACTTATCTCTTTAAAAAATTGTTTAGTTGTCATCGGTGTCGCAAAAATTCTCTATCGTCAAACTGTCAATGCAACTTGTCTGTTTGATGCCTCGTTTGCTGCTCGCTTTTCTCAATTTACATATAACATCGCCTACAAGCACTTATGACCGAAATTCTCTATACGAATTGAATAACACAAATGTTGACCATTGCGGTGTTAGTGAATAACATATGAATGTATATGCGCGCTACTCACGTACACTTACGGCCTGTATAAGCTGCTTGAAAAGCATGTATTAAAAGAGGAATTCCATACGCTGACATTCACATTGACGAGTTCTATTGCTACGTTTTTGTCTTCAAACAATATGACGATGAACAAGAGAAGAAAAAAAAACAATTTATGTGAAGTGAACGATAAAGTGCTTCGCGTGGAAGTTCGTTTGTTGGTGTGCGTGCATGACATGCTCCGCATGCAGACTCACACACACACACAAATAGTCGTTCTCATATCACCTATTTTACTACATAATCTATTGCTTTCGGCAGCCGCCATATTTTCGTGTATAGCATTTTCTCACTGTGTTTTTTTTTCTTCATACATAAATCAAAGAGATTTCCCCAAATGTTTATACAAAAAAAAAAAAAAACATGCATAGTACAAACAAATATGAAAATTTGAAGTGAACTCTTACAAAAGCGATAAATTGCAGACAAATGTGTTACTGTTTGAGCGACGCGAACAAAAAACAACTGATCAGTTTACGGAATTGAGTATATGATGTATTTGCTGTCGAGGTCTTTCGATCGTTTTAAATTCAATGTAAATCGTACTTGACTTGCTTTTTTTCAGATAATTGCTAATTAACGCAAATAAAACTTGCTTTTTTCCCGCATGCTGATCGAAAAAGACAAAACATACACTTTAGACAAGCAAATATTCACTTTTGTTTTTCGCTGGAGAATATATTTCATATATTTTAGATGTTCGGATGTCAAATAAAAGACAAAACAATCGAAAATTGTGCAAATCTTTTGTATAAAAATTTTGTAAGCAACCGAGATCGTTTTGCTGAGCTAAGATATTCAATTTGCGGCAATAAGGAAAGTTTAATTTATTTTTAATTTATGACAATTGCTACAACGTTTCTCGGTTTCAGGCAGACTCACTTTACAATTTCCGTACCAATGCCAAAAATACGTGTACGTATTTTGTGTATCTTAATCAATTGAATTGGGCACGATTACATTTGGACACGACTTTTCCAATAATTAAAATTGACACTTTCAATATTTTAATTGTTTTGCTGTTAAATGTCATGAATCATTGTGTCTTTTATCGCAAATCGTTCGTCAAGCGCGATCATCATCAGTATAAGTAGCTAACGATTACGAATGCGATACCATAAATTATCTACACAAATCAAAATCGTCTTAAATGCAGCAATGCACAACGTACGACCGGCCTTCTATTTTGATATTAATTGTATATGTGAGTATAACGCGATAAAAATATCAATGCTAAATCAAGTGCCTGTGTGTGCCACAGCACTCTTTGTGTACGGTTGTGTCTTTGGTCGCGCAAAATCTAACGCAAATCGTTTCGAACGTGTGGCTTTGTTCGTGCACACATATTCTCATGAGAGTTCTAAACGAAGCAATTTTCGTACGTTTAAATCTTTGCATTCGATACATCTTCTGCAGAAACCATAATATGTTTTATATCTACAACGATTTTTTTTTTGACAGAAACCGTCTAGTCTCTCTGTGTGTATGTGTCTGAAGTAGAAGTTTCGTAATAATTAAAATATCTGCATTTTATAATGCGTGACGTGGAAAACATAACGCATAAAAACTGAAGTAATAACAAAAAAAAAACCATACTTTTATGGAAAAATCCACATGAAAAATGTGTTATATGTGGGAATTGAATTGTTTCCAACAATAGTTGAAAAAAATTAGCAATTCATGTGAATGTGTATGAATTCTGAAATGAAAGTTTAATTATTGCTTGCAAATGAAATTAGCAAAGGGGAAACGTTAGTATTATAAGTGAAATTTTCATATTTGCGTCGTCTCTTCATGTGTGTGTCTGTTGTTTTTTTTTGTTTCATGTTTACGATACACAACGTTACGAAGAAAGTCATGCGTTTGTGATGATGACGACGTCAACGATGGCTGTGGCGATGTCATGAAAGAGTAGTTACAAACACTATGAAAAAAAGCTGAGTACCGAAAAAACAAATGCAAACCATACGAGTCAAATATTTTTAAATGACGCATCAGAAATTTTTACCGTTTTTTTTCAGTGTGCATGATCGAAGCTGCAATAATTTATTCATTTAAGGTTCATGAAAAATATCGACGATCAATCCCAATGTCGTAGTGAGCAAGCTTGTGATTCATTCATCTGTGAATAGTGGTTTTTTCCTTTGTTGTTATCATTTACTCACCTTTTAAATAAAAAAAAGCTGACACAATTTGTATGTGAAGAAGATAAAAAAATCCAAATTAACAAATTAAAATGTCTATTTTTACATATGTCATTTCACAAATGATGGTGGTTTTCTACAATAAAGTCAGCGAAACCGTAGTGTTTTTGTCTCACAGTGATAACGAGAATTAAATTCAATGCAAGAGAGAGACGCAATTCGTTTTATATTGACAACGTTTATTATTGCATTTATCAATCATATCATGATTTGTCTGGCTCAATGGAATTAAAAATGAAAAAATCTTGATCTTACTCAAGTTTGTTCATTTATTTTATTGTTCCCTTTCTCATTTGAATGAAAGTGCTGTTATCTTTCGTCTTTTTTTATTTATTTTTTCCTTGTTTCATTCGACCCAAAAACGAAAGTTGGGTTATGTTCAAATGTTTCTCAGTTGAATACGTTTGTTTGTAAATAAGAGAATTTGGTTATAAGATCTATGTGTTTCATGTGATATGTGCTGCGACGATTATTATTACATCACGTCATAAGAATGTAATTTAAGTTTTAATCTATTTTCTTTCTTCATTACAGCGCATCAAATCGAAAACAACAAAAAATAAAACTAAACGTGCATCAGAATAAAAATTAAACATTGGACTTGTAGTGAACAATTGCATGTGCTAAAATCACAAAAATTGAAAGTTTCTCTCTGACTATAAAAGAAAATAATAACCAAATTGCCAAAAATAAAATTAAAAGAGAAAAAAATAATAAAGAAAAACTATTGTATATAAAACGTGAAACTGTGTAAACACAAAAAGACTGACAAAAGAATACTAAAAACAAAACTTTTCTACGTGATACGAAACGGAAAGTGTGCGTACGAACAATAAATTTTTCACGAAAATTGTGAAAAAAAAAACCAACAACAAAAAGCAGCAAAACAATTTAAAAATAAAAAACAATAAAAAAGGTTCGCCATCAAAACAGGTTGCAATCAAAATCGTGTTTAGAGTGTGTTGAACTGACGAAAGCGCGTAGCGTTTTGCTGATGAGGTTTGTTTTGCAGTATGAGCACACTTGGTGGTAGTCGGGGGGAGCGCAATGCAAAGCCCAAGTTTTCAGCATTAGACATTAATAGTCTTTATCGAACTAGTCGCGGTGAATCTCTAGAGCCGTCAGCACAGAAAAACGCTGTACCACGCAAACATGGCATGCAAATATTGGGAAAAGTTCCATCAGCTCGCCGGCCTCCAGCCAATTTGCCATCATTAAAAGCCGAAACATCGACACCAACACAAGATCAAAGTGGTTCATGGCCAGCAGCATCATCACCATCTGCAAACGTAAATAATCAATCAGGAAGTAACGAGAAACCGAGCGGCGATCATCATCATCATCATCACCAACAACAACAGAAACAACAACAACATCAACAACAAAAACAACACCACCACCAACAACAACAACAACAACAGAACTATCAAAGTAAATCAGCAAACAACAGTAACACCAGCGGAGGAGGTGGTGGCGGTCACGGAAACAACAATAACAACAGTAACAATAACAATAATTCATCGGCATCATGGAGCGCGGTAACGAGCGCACACGAACCGGCTGTACAGAAACCGCTACTATATCAAAGTCCACAATTTCAGCACGAATTTCCATCATTAGACGGCAGCAATGCACAAGTACAATCAAAAGGAAATCGCGGCACATCCAATGCAAATCAATCGGATGCACACAACAACAGTCACACAAACAACAACCAAAATGCAAATGCAAATGCTGCCGATACACAATACGAACAAAATCGCACAGAAAAAGATGGACATTCAGAGCAAATTGCATCACAACAACAAAGCGGCGGAAACGGAAATTCATCCACAGCGGCCCCGGTCCACCAACGTTCTGTACCGCCACAGTTTCGGGCACTTATGCCAACATTTATGCATCGCATGAGCGGCTTCGATAATTTACCGCCCGAAAATGAATCACATCAACAACACCACCAACAACAGCAACAACATTATCAACAACAACATCAACACCATCAACAAATACAATCGCAAATGGGAGGCAACCGTGACACACGACGAAACTATGGCAGAGATCAACAATATCAATCGTACAATCGAAATTCACGTGGTGATCGCAACGATGACAGACAATATCGACGCGGTCCACCGCATCGATCCAATCGACATGATCAGAATCAATACGATGACTACGATACTGGATATCAAAGTAAATTGAAGAATAACTATTTAAAATTCAACTCTTTTCGGATGACATTTTCTAATGTAAAATTTTACATTTTGCAGGCATTATTAAAGAAGAAGAATTGGAACGCATTGATCAAATTGTGAAGGAAGATGGCTGGGTACAAGATGATGAAATTGATTATAATCAAAAACTTGTATTCTCTGACGATGATTCAGACACACCGCCACCAATATCCCGAAGCAAAGATGCCAAACGTGTTAATTTCAATGACAAGGAATCCAAGGCATCTGCACATCGCAAAGATGAACAAGAAATGCGAGCTGGTAAGTTTATTTTGCTAATACATTCACATAGCGATACAATATTTATTGATTGAAATAACTTGTAGCGTACAATCGTGAAACCGAACGAGAAAAAATGGATCGTGAACATAATGAAAGAAATGAACGTGAAAAATTGGAAAATCGAATGCAACAAAATGGCCATCGAAGCGGTGCGCCCGTTGTTGATCCCGAATTACTAGTGGAACGTATGAAGCAACGCCAAGAAGAAGAAGAAAAACGGGCACACGAACGACGAATGGCTGCGGCTAAGAAACTTCAAGAATTGGAACAAAAAATCAATAAAAAGAAAGAATTGTCCGGTGAAAATGAAAATGATTCGAATGCATCATCGTCGATGGCGCCACCCTATGCCAAAGGTGATGCAAATGAATCACGAACAAATGATCGATATCGTTCCGATGATGGTGGTAAAATGCGCGAAAATAAAGATGCACGTGACTATGGAAATCGTTATGAATCGAAATTTGAACGTGATGTTGGCGATCGTTCACGTGATCGTGGCGCACCAAATGCCGGTGATGCATTCTTCAATAAACCATACCAATCGAATTTGCCACCACGCTTCCAAAAACAACGCGATCAACAAGAACGACACACCTACAATAAGGTTGAACCGCCACATCGGGCTGGTCCGCGCGAACAAATTCGCCGACCAAATCAATCGTTGCAACAACCACATATTATGAAACGTAATGTTGATGATATCAGAGACTCGAAATCGGGCTATGCAAAAGCAAATACTAGCACCGGTGCATATTCAACGCATTCGAAAACAAGTTCGTCTGGTTTATGCGAATCCGAAGACGATGATCGTGTGAGCAGCGGCCGTGAATCGATCAGTCGCAGTTCGATTGGTGAACGAACATCACATTTGGGACGCAGCACGTCCGATTCATCGCAACCGGAAATAAAAGATAAAATCGGTTCATGGGCTGACGAAATGGAAATGGATTTTAAGCAACCACAGCGACAAATTTCGAACACATCAAGTACATCGGCCAACGATGATATTCAACCGAAACAGATTTTGCAACGTGTACGCAAGGTTTCAATCGAAAGTCGATCGGATAAAGAGAAGTCCGAAGAGCGTGAACTATCATGCGGCAATATATCCATTAAGTCGTTGAATCAGTCACAAGAGGATGTCACTAGAGATGTGAGCAAACAATTTGTCACATCGCCAAGTATGATTGAAGCACCGAAATCATGGGCTGACAGTGCACCGACTACACCCGAAATTTCACGTAAATCTATTGAGAATCTTAGCGACACATCATGTGTGACGGCTAAGACAACTGATACTGATAAAAAACCGTTGGAAAGCGTCTTGGAGAATGAGCCAAGCGGTGGTGCAGCTACTGAAAAGAAATCTGATGAAAAATCAAATGTATCCACCGTGAAAACTGGCCGCGGCTATTCCAAAGACGATAGATATAGCAGTGACGATGGTAAACATGGAAATGTATTAAAGCGACCAAACACAAGAGGTGGACGACACGATCCACGTGTTGGTCCAACACGGAACTATGGCGGAAACACATCGTATCGCGGTGGCAATTCAAATTGGAATAATAATCGACGTGGAAGATCGAATCGATACAATGAATTCAGTGAGAGTGAAGGATCCGACGATGAGTATCATGGACGCGGTGGTCGTGGCAAAGACGATCGTTTCAAACATGACTCATCGAATCGACGAGACCCAACACAATCACATCAAAAGGATGTTTTTGTTCCACGTGGTGAACCGTCTCGTCGTGGAAGAGGAGGAGGGTGAGTTTTGGAATTAAATCCACAATTTTTCTAAAAAAATATTTATACTTTTCTTTTCAATTTTTTTTTTTTGTTAAACAGAAGAACAGCTGGCCCGATAGTAAAACGTATCGATAACTACGGTCCACCAAATGCAAAGAGTCCGTTCGGGGCAAGTGACGAGAAATCGGAATTGAAATCGGACACAACAACTGAAGAAACAGTAATTAAGAAGAACGAGTCTCAACCAGCCGATGAAATTGCTGCACATACAACTGATTCATCAGGTAAGATATATTCAGAGTTTTTTTTTTTGTTTCGGAATAGCGTTTATGTACAATATACAATGTTACAATGAGTTTTCTTTGAATTTTTAGATGTTAAAATTTCAAAGTCCGACGATAAAAAGATTTCGTCGACGAAGCCAACATTTGGTGCTCCAGCATCAGTTCCACAACACAAAGATTCAACTGGCCATAAAGTTGATACTCAGTCGTTAGTGAAACCAGATGATGCTTCAAAATTGGCTCCAATCACTGTGCAAGCACCACAACCTCAACGCATCGAAAAAACTCCATCGTTTACCGCAGATAAACAACAATTAGGGTACATTTCTTTTATTCATTTGTGAGAAAAAATGGCATTCTTAACTTCAATATATTAAATTTGACAGTGGTGGTAATCAAGCGGCCGTAGGAAGTAAGCCAGAGAAGCCGGTCATAGTGAAGAAAGATGAACCAAGCTATGTACATAGCCAGCGCAGCAATGTTCCACTAACAAATCGTGGCAAACCACAGATCAATGCTCAATCGACAAACAAACCAGTTAGTCAGTCCATACCAGCCAACAAACCTGTGGGAGGTAATACAAAACCAACATCAAATGCCCCTCAATCTCAACAACCGGTAAGTCATCGTTGTCGTCTACGTCTTCTCCTTTTCCACTTGTAATTAAAATCAGAAATAAATGAAATTGTTTTATTTTTGCTCACGTTTCAGGTGAATGTGTCAGGTGCGGTGGGAAGTGGAAGTGTGGTAAATCGTCAACAACAGCCCAATAAAATGGCTCCAAGGTTTGTGAAACAACCACGCGATCGAACTGGTTCAAGTTCATCGAATACCTGGGAAAAGGGTGGTGACATTACACACATCGGCAATACTAATGAATCTGAATTTATTCAACGTTCTAGCAGCGGTATCCAATCGATTGAGAAAATGAGCCAAGATAATAGCAACAAACCGGATTCGAATACCAAAATGTCAACGATCATTTTCGAAAATACAAACTTCAAATCGATGCCCGGCCCAATAAAACGCCAGACTGTTTCATCAAATCAACAACAGATGCAAAACACATCGCAACAGTCACAAAGGAGTGGTGTTAATCAGTTCGATCAAGTACAAGCGAATAATATGGGCGGACATCATGGACATCATCCACAAAATCAACATCATCTCGACAAGAAGCCTGATGACGTGTTCAAAAATGCATCGAGCGGCAATTTCCAAGACATGCTTGACTCTCAACAACAGGTAGGCCTTACATCATTATCGTGTCTCTTTATTTGGATTATTTTTTAAATGAAATGTTCAATTGATGATTTTAGATGCAATCGCAAGTGCAACGTGCACATCAATCACAAACCGATGTCATATCGTCAGCTCTACAAACCATGTCATTCCCAAAATCCGATGCTGAATACGAAAAAGATCTTAAATTAGCGTTCACATTCGAATCGGAAATATTAAACGATACACAATCAAGTAAGTATCAATGCATTCAGTTTTAATTTATAAGAAGATATGAATTTTCTAATGAAAAATGTGTTCGTTCTATTGGACTCTCAGGTGAGAAAACTTCAAAGGGTGGTTTATGCATACCACCATCACGTTCAACAGCCATTCATTCCGTTGCTAGTGGTCAAAATACGATTTCCCCATCAATTGCCGATCTCAGTAAGAAGATTACCAGCGTTAAAAAGGTGTGGGAAACGGTACCATCGATGTCAACAGTTATCGAACATGGAAACAATTCGAGCAATTCGGGAAATAATGACGATTCACATTTGTCATCGACATTTGTCTCAACACAAAATCAACAGCACATGCACCAATTTACGCATGCACAACAACAATTGCATCAAACCGGTTTGGCATCGTATACTAATTCATTCGGACCGGATCCAAGTTCACTTGATCATTTCGCAAAATCGGGTGGACAGGATGGTGACATTGATAATGTTGGTTACAATCCAAGTCCACAGCATATGGTTGGCGGAAATAATAATTCACATCCAAATGCTGGCCTCAAGCACAATGACCCATTGTCGGGCAATGTTAAAGTGAAACAAAATCAACCACCAATGCATCAGTCGAGTCTTGGATTATCGCCACCACCGATGCAACAGGGCATTCAAACTGCACCACAACCATATTACCAACCATCGCAATTTGGTGGCATGTCAGCAATTCCATCACCGCCAGCCGTTTTGTACAATTCGTCGCCGATGCCCTCTCAATACGGTCACTATGAAAGATACATTGCATCGGCGCACTATGGCGGCGGAAATGCAGGTAAGAATTCAATACAAACAAAAAAAAAACGAACAATTTTCTCATAAAAAAATTTGAACCTTTCAGCACCATACAATGCTCCATACATGCAAAGTGGTCCAAATTTGCAACCAACGCCAGCTCCAGATATGTATCAGAATATGACATCACAATTCCGCATGAGTGGTGCAATCAATCAGCCGCCATACAATCAACAACAGCAGCTGAACAATCAAAGTACTGTACTCATTTCGTCGACATCGAATTCTCTAATGTCAGCATCAGTGAAACCGTCATCGCAAATCGGTGCAATCGGAACTAAAGTGAATGCAGGTAATGTATTTTATATTGGCTTTTTTTCTTGCAATAAAAAATGGATCGATACGAAATTCTTCATTATTACATGTATAAATTCCCAACCATTAATTTAATTCTTTAGGTCAAACACCGTATGCACAACAATACATGGGAATGTATGCTCCACCTCAACAGCCACCACCACAAAATAATAACTATAATAACTATAACAATAGCTATTTTGGTGCACCAAATGCCAACTACGGAATTTTCGGTCCACAAGCTCAACCACCATCAAATGCATCTATGAATCAGGTAAAATATCATCTAAAAACAAAACTTGAGAGAATGAGAAACAAACTACTTTTCTACTTGAAATTACAATAATTCTTTTCATATCATTCATTTTAGCAACCTGTGGCAAACTATGGTAACTTCTTGGCCATTAATCGACAATATCAAAGTCAACAAAACAATGCCTACTCGCAACAACAACCGTCTTCACGTAAGTGAAACTAAATAAATCTGTCTGAAAAAAAATCGATGAGACGTGCACAAATAACAAATGTGTTTTTTGTCTATCTCGCTCAAACAGGGTCACAACAACAGCAACAACAAAATCCAAATCAATCGCAATCGCAACCGCCATCCGGTCAACAATCGCAACAACAATCCAATCCAAATTCACAGAATCAATCGGGTCCGCCGCAATCACATTCACAGGATACCGTATCGAATTCGTTTTTCAAGTAGAACAACACTAAAATCGATTTACAATTTTTGAAAAGATGATGATGATGATGAAAAATTAAGCGCCCAATTCGGTGTGAATCAAGCAAAAACAAACGATAAATGTTAAAGCCTAGATTGAATGAAATGTGTGGCTGAAGCTGCTAAACTTTGGTTTGGTCACACAAACAGACAAAAACAACAAACAAAAATTGAAAAAGTAGATGCTTTTCAGCTCATTTTTTTCCAACTATGATCATTCATTATTCTGTATTAATTTATGTGTATATTTCCTGTAACAAAAAATAAGAACAACCATTTTTTTTCTTCATTTGTGCACATTTGTCCGAATGGATCGGTTAAATTGTATGGACATTTAATCAAATGAACAGAAACACTGAATATGAAATGATAATTTTCTGCGAATTTTTTTTCCATACACCGCACGCAAAAACAAATTATATATATTTAAAAAAAGAGAGAGAGAGAAATAAATCTTGGAAACAAAACAAAACATAAAACATTTAACAAAAACATCAATAAATTGTTTAAAGAAACTCAAACACCGATGCTTACATGGAAGAAAACACCAATTTCAAACATTTATAATAGACACTCCTGATTACGGAAAACGTGTCAGCGAAAGAAAGAAACATGTGAAAAATATTGATTTTGTTCGAATCAATTTTTACTACTAAGCAATCACATCGGCACTAAATAAGATGAACAGAAATGAACTTATTTCGTTTAGAAAGCAATGAAATTGCTATTTTTTTTAAACAATTTTTTCTTGTTCTCCGCTGTTTTGATTGTTAAATGGCACCAATTGAAATATTATTTAAATGTTGCCAATTGGCAATGAGTTTTGTCATTCTGACGAATAAACTAATAAGATATGCACTAACTTTTGAAGTTAGTCTTGAGATTTAGTTAGGATTATGGGATTTTCTATCGTACTAGCTTTTAGAGGCTTGAGACGTTAATCCGCGTGTTTTTTTTTTTGCATGGATGCCAACCTAAAACAAAAACACTGAACACTCCCACACAATATTGTTATGATGCTTGATGTCGCTGATATGCAAATTAACATTCAAATTTCAATCTATGTGTTGTTGATTCAACTCCGATGCAAATATTGTGCAACAAATAAAACGACTACAAATCTATATGTATTTAAAGAAATTCCATTGCTTGATATTTATGACAAATCGAATGGATTTTATGCAAACAATTCCTTTTTGAAGCTGAATATAATCATTGACGTATACAAAACAATTGTTGGATAAAGTGCTTAATTTATGACATTTGCTAAAATCATTTTTCAAACATCGATAGAAAATTTATGCAAAAAATGCGAAGACAACAATAAGAAGAAAAAGTAACAAGAAAAAAAACAAACACATTTACTCAATCTAGACACGGTATTTCATAATAATTCTTATTATATATTTCTGAATATAGAATAATACGATTTGCCCAATTAGCGCAAATACACACACAAATGAATTCTGTCTCTCCTTCCGCTTTGAAATGGACATGATGAAATTTGATGAGAAAATGAGAATTAAATTATCTCTATTTAATAAAACACATTAGAAACACATGGAACGTATTTAAGAGTATACAATTGAAATCCAATTTTTAAAAAGAAAAAAAAAATACATAATTTATATGTATATGTTCGAAGTAGCAAACGAAAACTCTGAGAAAAGTAGGTGGTAATGGGAAAATAAATGTCAAGAGTGAAGAGGACATATAGAAATCGTCGCAAGGTCATTCTCAAAACCTCACACTCACAAAAAAACACACAAGTATGAAAAAAGTAGACATTGTAACATTTGACTGTTAGAGCAAAAAAACGGTTTTGTTTTCTTCTGAGAGTGCATATATCTAGCAGGATGTAGTAACTGTTATTAGAAGCAACAAAAAATAATAATTGCAAAGTGAATGTGTGATTTAGAAAACAAAGAAACTATCAAATAATTTTCAGTCTAGAAATGAGTTTGCAAAATGAATATGGGCGACTGCTGCACACAAAAACTCCTTTTCGATGGTGCTTGAACATATATAAATGATATGTAAACACAAATGGCGAAAGGTACACTCACACAAATAATACACACACTACTCCTACGTGGATGATAGAGAGACACAAGTGAAAAAAACAAAAAAAAAAAACAAATTAATGATCCTTCATCGAAATGGATGAAACAAGGATTGAATTTAAACAAATATATATATAGATGCAAAAAGTATATGTGTGAAATTCAAATCTAATAAACAAAGCTCCAATGAAATGAAACGGAGATTTTCTTTTTGAAATTCAATGACTAAATAATAAACAAATTGAAATTGACAAGAAAACAAAAAAAAACACACACTAATGATTTAATTAAACTATATTATTAATATTATTACTATTAATCTATTGCAAGACAACAACATAATATTCATGTGAAATGGTGAAAAAGCCACAATACAAACTAGAAAATCACGCGCGAGAGAGATAAGAAGAAATTTAAGAAAAAACATGAAAAATAAGCTGCAAACAAACAAAATAAAAATCAATGAAACAATATTCGTATTTTATTCGTGTTCAATTGAGAATAACTCTTAAAGAAGTAAATATTCCTCACGGTTTTAGATATGAATGAAATACGATGATGAAAATTTAAACACTCTGCAAACTAAAAAAAAAAAGATGATGATTAAATTGCAATCATAATATGGAAAAATAAATATTATAACTATTTAAAGCATATTAAAACCATGCCAGTGGTTATGCGCGGGCTTAACGTGCTCATGCAAATGATTTAACATTTAATTCGATGAAGAAATGAAACTAAATAAAATAAAACAACAACAACAAAAGAATACATGAAACAATTCTACCGAATTATAAAATGAAATATATACAAAAATATGATTACAAAAATTTATATTAAATAAAAATTTCAAGAAAAAAAAACACACACACACACTCAAAAATCCATCGAGTCTATTTCCCGCAAGAATTTTTTGCTGTTTTTCTTTTAGCATTGCTCGGTTTTAGCTTTGAAACAGTAAGTAGGCAGAAGGAGCAAACGAACAGTAAGAGGAAGCCAAGAAGGTAAGTATAGTGCAAAAGTGTAAGTATCTAGGCAAAAAACGTTTTCCCGTCAAACACACGGGAAATCGCTATTCTCATTGTTCAACGTTTTTGTTCGTTCTTTTGTGCGGGGAACCATTCAAAAATCGCCACAGCAGCTCCATCTGTTCAAAATTGTTGGAAACTACATCTAACAAAATATCATCTTGAAATGATGCCATACTCAAGGATCCCAAGCGATTTTCATTAAAAAATGTAGAACTATCTTCAGATTTTATGCGTTGATCACTTTTAATCAATAGTTTTATTCATAATTAATCATATTCATCTAATATTTTATACTTTTCTTGACAATATTCCAATTTAAAAACCTGTCTCGATGTTTTGCACTGAGAAAGCGGCTTTCAGCGTGGCCCTTATACAATGAAACACTTGCTTGCGTCGTTTCGACGCTTCGATTGTTACCGCATCGACGTAGCGTGTGCACACATTCACTCTGTACGGACAGAGACAGAGAGCAAAACAAGCAAAAGCATGGATATCAAATCAGTTGTACATGTACCGTCGATGCGTATGTACTTCTGCGGACAGATCTTTTTTTATCGAATTCCATTGTGTATTTTTTTTTGTTCATACTCAAGTGGATTCTGTGAACTGTAAAGAATTTTTCGTTTAATTGCATTTTAATAAAAAAAAATGTTATAATTCACTTGCCAATATGCAATGTGAGTGCATTTTATTCGTCTCTTAATTCAATAATTGATTAAATCTTGTTTGAGTGCTTAAACGAGAGAAAAAAAACGTTCATTCATCTGATTATAGGCTTTTATATCAGATCAAAATTATCGTTTTGATTATTTAAGCATAAAATTTTGTATCGAACATGAATTTTAAGTGTGAATAAGTAAAAACTGAATGAATATAGTGTTAACACTCAATTTAAACATGTAAAAGGTTTTGTGTTTTATTTTGGATTTAGTTTTTCCGGTGCAAATAATAGAAAAAAACAGAGATTTTTTATCGCAAAACTAAACAAGGGAAAAATTAAATGATGAAAAATAAATATTTGAGATAAACCAAGATTCATATTTGATTTTGGTTGCGCCACATGAGATGATTGAAATGTGCAAGTGTTGAAGCAGGTAGCATTTGTTTTCCATTTGACAATTTGCATCGAAGTTGGATATGCGCGCGCGTTTCCATATTTAACACAGTATTGGTGCTACATTGGCATTTTTCCGGAAGATCTACAGCTGTTTCATTTCGAAACGGTGGATGGTGTTGTGTACCATTGATTGTATAACGACAAAAACCGACACAATTTTCAAATATTTGTCTATCCACTTGTCCGATTATTTCGACGGTTGCAGTCTTGATTTGGGACTGAAGTGATTCAAACATTCATCGAAATTGTTCTGTGTGCCGTGAAGTTCATCGAGATTGCTCTAAAAAAGAAATTGTGAACCAAAATATTTTCAAGAAATCTTTTTTTTCGACACAAAATTTGTATAATGGCAAAACTTGTATAATTTAAAAGTGAATAAAAACCGAGCGAAAAAGAAAAATCTCGATCGCAACATTCAAATTGCAAAATTATTCAAGCTCACCAAAGGAATTCACCGGAATTTCCAACTTTATTTGGAAAAGATTTTAAACAAAGTTAGTTCGGTCATAAATGATGGGTCGTCGTGTAAATCGTATCTGCGAAATTAAATATCCCAGTCGTGTGGAAGGATGGCTCGATGTTTGTGGTAAGTTTTTCAAACGGATTTCGATATATTAAATTTATCCAATGGGTTGCGCTTATATGCATCGACTATATCCATATCCAAGTCGTTTTTGTTTCCCCGAAAATATCCAACGTTTTTTTAATTTGTTCTTTCAAATAAGTTTTTTTATTTGGGTTTAAAAGTCAATAAAAACTGAAAAGAGAATGAAAAAAGCAAATCGAAAAGCTGACCTTCTGCAACTTTTAAAAACGTCGTAATAGTTGACAAAGATTGAATATCGATTTCGATATCATTCGAATTCGATGTGGTCATTTGGGACCAAATTGAAGATATCCGACAGCCAACATACAATGTTCGACATTTTGTGTATGTCGCTAAAGTGCACTAAACGCCAGATGAGAAATAAGAACCGTACATTTCGCAAGACGTTCATGGTCTGAATGCTATCTTCGTTGTTGTCATGTTTGCAGGTTTATTCGATATCAAATTGCACGCGATAGAAGCCACATAGAAAGCAGATTGGTCAGTTGTGAAGAGAATGGTAGAAATTTTGTCTGCTGTGAATGCACAAGGTTTTCGTTTCTGTGTTAAAACACCGAAATTCAAAGTTGTGAGCACATTCTGTGAAATTTGATAGCCACTTGAAATTAGAAGTTGAGAAGTTTGAATGAAAATAGTTGGGGTAGCCGAAAAGGGCAATCAAGTAATCCATGATGTGATGAAAATATATGATTTCGAGAAAGCGAGATAAAATCCGATTAATTCATGAGCGTCGCGAATCCACTTTGTACCAGACATTTTGATGGAACATCTCAATGACAAATACTTGAAAACGCAAGAAAATATTCGAATATTTCAAGAAAAAATATGCCTTCAAACACACCCGTTTCATTCAAATGATGTGTATTAATTCACTCGAGTTAGATAAATCACGAAATACTTCGCCTCGAAAAAAAACACACAAAAAAGAATAGATGATTCTTTGGCATGAGATAATGTTGTAAGCACAAACAAATTGAATTTGTCTTTTTTCCCCTCATCGTTCACTTCGGTTCATGTTCATTTTTGATACTTGCTGTGCGAGATAGTGTAAAAAAAAGAGTTCGGAAAAAAATGATCGATGACAATGGTATGTGTTACAAAAACTGAAATACGTGAGCTGGATTTTTATTCGAAACCTATTTGAGATCCGATGATTTTCATCCATTTCATAGAAATCCGCCTTTTTTGTTCAGCTAGTTAGAACCAAAATATTTTGTCGATGCGATTGGAAATAAAAATGGAAAATGAAATACGGCTGGATAAAATGTTTCAATGAAAAGCGTTCATGCACTCGTTTATTTACTTTTTTTGTTTATTTGTTTGTGTATGTTTTTTTTTGTCGCAATTCCAGGCCAACGTAATGCGATTGATTACACGAGCAAATATACTTTATGGCGAACATGTATCCAAGAAACCGATGTGTTTATTTAACGTTGGGAGAGTTAATTGTATTCATTGAACCAGCCTGAAGTATTTCTGCTTCAGTGAATATAAAATCCTCGCATTTTGATAACAAAACCATATGATACTATCTTCGAAAGGATTACAAGTTCTCTGTTAATTAATGTCTATATGAATATTGTATTGCTTTTATCTTCGTCAATCAACTAGTTTGAAATTTCATCCCATAATCCACATTTCACAATGCTGCAAATACCCAATGAAAGACGAACGACAAGTTCTAGCTTTGCTACCGACACTTCGTTTGGATTAATTAAGTAGTGCGAACGTGTGAACTTCGTACAATTAACTATAATAACAACCATCTGATTACATTGAATACCTAATTGAAATTTAAGTAAATGTAAGCGCACAAGTGTTTGTATTAGATAATTTCATCGACAAGTAACGTATTTACATTGACAAACAGAGAAAGAAACGAGACAGAAGATGAGATGGAAGCGAACAACAAACATGAAAATATCGATGCAAAATGGTTTTTGTGAGAAGAGCGGTACCGCCACTGCCGCAAAATACAACGAGAAAGAAGAAGAGTAATAATGAAAATAGTGATAAGATTACCACCGTACATCGCATGCGATTATATGGTTTGACTCTTATCTGTCGCATTTTCACCTTCTTCCACCCAGACAACGGGTCTTGTTTGTCGTTTGTGCCATTTTATCGAAACAATTTTCTCTCGCACACATTTACCGTACACATTGGGTCGGCACTTTGCAAACGCAATTTTTTAATGATACTGTTCAAGTTGCGTCAATTACTCAATTGGCATTGTACATTGACCGTTGCACACATGAGTATGGTATACAAACTGCAACACTTTTCTTGATCAATTTCATCGGTCGATAGATATGGTGGTCTCGCTAGACTTGCTTCTCCGAACTTTTGCCATCATTTAATCACTTCAATGGCTTAATTTTGTTGTCGTTAGCAGCTGCAAAATATCTAATATAATAATTCCGCAAAATTAATGAGTCTACCGCATCATAATGAAACTTTCATGAATTAAACGACCGTCTCATCTCTTTAAATTCTGTTTCGCATCGATGCTTTTCGTACGTTAAGTATTCTGTCAAACCTTTGTATAAATCTGTCTAGAGTTATAAACGTCATTTTAAAATTCATGATATATTCTGAATAAAATATTCAACAAGTTCGATTTTGCTTGCCACGGGTCATTGAGCGAGACATTTTGCAA